ATATACTTTATTTTTATTTTTAATATTATTATTAATGTTATTAATATTATTATTATTATTATTAATAATAATAATAATAATATACATATAAAAGGTCTATTATATTCTCAGTCCAAGTATGATTGACTGTGAGTCGGTACGGAAACATTAATCGTGATAAACTCGATGACATTCAGTTATCCGTGGCAACAAAATGTCTACAAACCAATTGTTTCATACGCCCTAATGAATGACTAGATCATAGTTTAATTCATCGCTTGACTGATACATTAATTTTCCAACTAAAAACATGTGCGTTGTTAGCTTTAAAACATGAACTGTCTCGAATACAGAATATCCTACCGAAAATATCACAATTGTTCACAGGACACGCAATGAACCGCAACTCACTGAATGCACAGCTCAGTATGTTTAATTTTAACAGATGGATGAATACACACAAAATAATGAAAGATGTACGATAATTGAACAATTTTCGCTACAATATGATTGGAAGAATTAAAATACTCTAAATAAATTTAGTATAGGCCGTATGTCCTATCTATAGGCCAGCCTAAGTAAATATCCATACCGTGGCCTTGGACAAGTCCATTTTTCCTGTAATAATACTTGGTCTACTCTTACCTTTAAATAGAACTTTTTTTCCACGCTTTCAAAACCAAAGTCTATTTCGCTCTCTGATCTTTTCTTCTTATGGTAAATCCCACCTTAAATAATAATTCCGAGCTTCTTCTCATTGTAGCGCAATAGTAACCTGTGAAGATTGTTTGAGCCAATATCTAATATACTGGATAACTAGGAGACACATTGTACATTGTAGGGAAACCACACACAGAATAGGCCGTCACAGGTGTGTGTCGTAGGGGAAACAGTGAATTAGCAGAAACTAAGAAAGCCAATAGGATTTGAATGCGTCAAGGAAACAATGCATTATGATGAGTGTTTGTTGATTGCTTTTAATAAATCTTTAATCTGCTTAACACACTATCAAACAAGGTTAAAACCGCATCTATTAACTAATGGTGACAGACTCTGGACCTCTTCAGACGAAGCTCGCCTATGCCTGTATGCAAAATGTTCATGAATAAAAAATGAAGATATATAATTCAAAGCCCAAAATGGATAATAATAATAATAATAATAATAATAATAATAATAATAATAATAATAATAATAATAATAATAATAATAATAATAATAATAATAACGATAAAATATGATAAATGTAAAAAAATGGTGTTTTTTGGCGCTTTGTTTTTATCTTTTAATCTTTTTTTTGGTTTAATAAATCAATGAAATTTAGTCAAATACTGTAATATACGTTTTATATGTGCAGTAGCAAAAAGTAAATAAATACATAGGATTTCCGATTAAAATTCAAGTGCAGAATCTTTCATGCAAACAATTGGATGTGAGATTCGTTTGAGAAAGCTGAGGAAACACAAAGTCTTGAACTTACCGGCATATGGGACATAGTCAGCAGTCACGACGACACGACAAGTACTGCAATGTCAATTGTAATTGTAACTCAACGCATGTTCGATACATGCGCAAGCAATACACATTACGGTCTCGAGGGATGCGCCAATAAATGCGCATTGGGACAGTTGAATATGAAGATACAGACAACCGATAGGAAATTAATGGATTGAAAGGTCTTTAGGGAGAGAAGTGATTACTGTATTTTAGCGTTTCGATACACGAGGGCGCTGTTTCAAATTTGAAGATAAAAGCAACATCCATTTTGAGGCTTTTTCCTTTCTTTTTAAAAAATATTTTAAACAAATCGTTTACAAAGTAAAAGCAATTTCATAAACATTCATTAAAAAATAACAAAAGAGCAATCGCTGATTGAAGAATTAAAAAAAAAAGCCTATGTGGATTTAAAAATTACAGGATACAGTAAAATACCAACTATAGCCTACACGGAGATTAATGAATCACTGAAATGTAATGGGTGTCACGTGCTTGGGTTCTTTATTATAAAATGTCTTTCAGAAATTATGGAACTTAGATCAACTTCTCTGATACTGATGCATTCAAGACCATCCTTAAAACTTATCTCTTTTTTTTGTAGCCCACCTTCTTCTCTCTTTTTTCATTGTTTTCATTTTTCCAAGAACTCTTGTTCAAGGTACAATAAACATTATGTTCAGAATTTATATAAAGGTAAAACAAAAATAATAAATAAAAGCTTCACGTGTATGAAGTACATTATCACATAAAATTTCTATAAACAATTATTATTTTGATACATATTTACTTGTTAATGCTTGATTTTCCCTCTAATTTAACAATCGTAACTTCGCTTGATTTAATTGATGAAAACTTATCTTTAATGTTATTAAATTATTTTGTGGCGGGAGCGGGTAACACAGTGACTGCGATTAAGAGATTCCCATGAGGTCTGAGTTCGAACCTCTATCATTTCGCTTATGTCTTTGGGACAAGGTACTTTGACTTAGTTCTCTCGGCTCACAACATCACACGATATAACCATGGTATAACACCAGGGATCCCAAGTTGAAAGAAGTCAATTCTGGGAGCAGGGGGTGGGCCAGAGCCCCGTCGGAGAGAGCTGTCCCACCCCACCCCGTCTGGGAGAAAAAAACACAATTCGTCGGGAAGAAATATATTATATGTACTGTATTTTCTAAATATTAGTAGATAAATTGTCAAGCCTGTAGGGGCTTTCCCCCCTGGCCTTTGGCACGGAATCAATAGGCCTACCGTGTCGAAAACGCCAAAAGACCGTTCTTCGTGGGGTGGTTTTTAGCTACAACATAAATAGCGGCCTAATTTGACCACGTTCAACTTAGCCAGCAGGCTAAGCCTATGTCTGTACTAGCAGAATTGTACGATATTGAGAATTAACTTATATAAGACTTAATAAAATACTTCTCAAGTCAATAATTTCGGCCTCTTCAGTAATGATCATATTTTAGCTATACCGACAACGCCCACTCTGCTCCTGTCGTGGACATCCGCAGTGACGGATCCTAGAATCCGCAATAGGGGTGAGCAGGGAGGGGATTTCGCAGATGTAGGGTCTATACCACCTCAACCCCTCATGGTTTGGGCTGAGGGTAAGAACATTTATGGTAATGGCACCTCGAGATGGCCGGAGATGGCACACTCAGACTTAAATTTAAATATGATTGGTTTTTTTTTTCTCCATTTTTAAAATTTATTTACTTTTAAGTGTACGTATTAATTAATGACTTTGCAATATGGTACTCCAGTCTCACACTCTGTATCAAACACAAGATTTTTAAAATATTGAAAACGGAAAAATGAATTATTAAAGCTGACTTAGATGGTATTGATTGTATGTATAACCTGACAAGACCACAATGAAAAACATTTGTTTTAAATGATTGTGTCATCTTGGTTAAAGATATTAATAAATAAATAAATAAATTAGATAATCATTATTGACTCTTCACATCCTTAAGCTCGTTTTGCTTAACATGTAGACTTCGCCCTTTGAAATGTAGAACATCTAGATATAGAAACTCATTTGTACACGACTCTATTTTTATATTTAATAACAAGAGCAGATAGACATCATATAGGCCTATGCCTATATTTTAAATCAAACCTGCCATTTTTTCTCGGTTTTAATTAAGTCTCAGTTTACAGTATCTTGTTATACAATTTTTCTACAATAATTGGTCTTTCTTTTAAAATTTTCTGGTAAATGTTTATATATATTTTAATATCGTTGTTTTTTTTATCTTTTCTTGTTTAAACTAATTTTATCATGTTATATTTATTAAGGCATTGTGTTTATCCTGGACACAAATTCTGACTGTATCTCGTTGTATTGTCGACAATAAATTTTCCTTGATTCTTTGAAATTTGGGAGTTGAGGACTTACCTCTCGAATCCGCCACTGATATGGTTAATGAGCTTTCGTAACAGTTAATTTTATTTTACTGCATAATGTAATACACATTGGCAATGACTTTTACGAGACTCGTGCGGACCCCGACAATAAGGAAGGGAACATTTCCTACTATAGCCAGTGAACAGTGTAATTTCACTGTTCCCTGCTATAACAATTTTCCTGGTGAACATTCTCCTTCGAGGATATTCACTCCCGGTTGTTTACAACAGTGGTTCCCAAACATTTTGCGTTCGCGGACCCCTCTGGACATTTCAAAATCTTCACGTACCCCCCATGTCAAAATATCATTGTCCATCCTAACAATAACGTTATAGATAGAAGATGATTCGCCACGAAACAAAAGTATAACATTAGACAGTGGCGCCAAATTACGACATCTTGGAATTTGGAATTCGACATAGACAGAAGGAAGGGTGTGATCCAATAAATTTTACAGATAGGGGATTTACGCTACGTCAGCCCCACCATGGTTGGGGCTCAGGTACGAAATGTTTATGTTTATGCACTTCTAGATGGCCGGAAATGACACTGTCAGATTCAAAATTTGAATGTAATTTAATTCTGTAAAATTTAGGGCTCCCTCCTGATTTTAAAATTGATTCAATATATACAGGTAAAAGCAATACAAGAGAAAACATGGAAACAAGATTTACATTACCTGAGGATGGCCACTATCAAATGGCTCTCCTAAACCATGGGAACAATGAAATTACTGCCTATACTAAACATGAAGAATACATAAAAAACTAATTTAAAACATTCTATCAGAACACCAATGAAATATTGGAATTAAAATATAATGCCAGTTAAAAATAATTCTTGTCACTGCATGATCATACTGTTTTAAGAACAATAATGGAATCATGAAAAAGTTGTTCTAATAATCTAGCGGACCCCCAATTTTTTCGCGGACCCCTAAGGTTGGGAACCACTGGTTTACAGCATTTAGTTTTTCAGCTATTACATTACTGTAATGTTTTATTGTGAGGGCTCCATCAGGGGCGGATCCAGAGATGTCCAAAGGGAGGGGTGGGGGCGCGAATGTGAGGCCATCGAGATAATACAACCTTAGGGGGATCCGCGAAACTTGTGTGTTCTAGACGCTCAAAAATAACCTCTGAGGCGTTTTGGGCGAGCAATTTTTTTCTTTTCCTTTCTTTTCTTTACCTTCAAAAAAAAAAAAAAAAAAAAAAAAAGGCGCCGGGCTCCCTCTAAATCCGCCCTACCCATGATCGTTAGCATACCTTTTGGGTCACCTTCCACGGTAAATAATAGCCTAATTACATTTTAATGAATAAGCTTATAATATTAACTATGTATAATAGAGAAATAATATTATTAACAATATTAATAATGCCTTTCACAAATATCATTGATATACTGTATTATAAACATTATTATTACCAAATGTTTGAAACATTAATTTATTCTAACATTTTATATACATTTTTACAATTCTACAGCAATTTATTTTAAGTCCAACTTATTTAAGTTTGATAGTACAGTATTATCCTTTTATATTATTTTTATTAAAAATAAAAAAAAAATAAAAAATTTTGTATATATACACATTGTAATATAAAACATAAATTAACATATATAAATGTACATATGTAAGTAATACTGTACTAATGTAGTAATAATTGTAATAATAATAAAACAACAACAATAATAATAATAATAATAATAATAATATTTTGACACAATATAATTTGACAGCGCAGCAGCAATAGATCAATGAAAATTATACCACACAGCAACATTCTTGATATGAACTGATAAAGCAAGACAACAATTATGTCAGCCAAAAACCCAACGCAAGATTAACTTCACAACATTTAAATCAATTGTAAAATCTGGAGTAACATATTTTCTACTTGAGCAGATACCATATGTGGGATTTTGTGAAGATGTTTCCTGATGTGTTTGTGACAGTGAATTTTAATCGGTGTTGAGGACCAGGCAAACACCTTGTAGTACCCAATGTGATACGTGTTCGGTGGTAGCAAGATCTGCTTCAAACACAAGGCCGACACCCATTGCGTTACGGCGCTGTGAAGTTGTGTATACTGGCGTTCTGAATGTATTCTGATGGTAAGGGAAAGAAAACATAAACATTAGTAAAACCAATTGATATGAAAGAACAGTAGACAATAAAACACCTTCCAAATGCCCAAATTATTATAATAATAATATTAAGAGGTTGTCAACATTAATTGTTGAAGAATTTATATTGTCATGTAGAATTGAAGTGACATAGTCATAAGTTATTGTCAACAATACAAACAACAATAGTAAATACAGGTCCCCCTCCAATTAAAGACCTTTTATGACTGGGGTGTCCATGGTCTTTAGCAGCTTTGGTCTCTAATTAGAATAATAAAGATAAAAGACATTCGATAATACAGTACCACAGAAAAGTGGACTTTAATTGGATGGACACCTGTAGTAAGCAATCATATTTGTTTACCTGTAGTTTCAGTCTATGAGCTTCAATTGGAATAACCTTTAGAATAGGAAGCTCTTCAATTAGCTGCTTCGGATGAGGTCTTTTTAAGCAACTATCCTCGCGGTTCCAGGCAGCGCCCTCTAGATAAAGCCCTGATACGAAGCATCCTGAAAAGTAAAAAAGTTTTGAAACATCAAATTTCTGTCAACAACAAAAGAAAAAATTTATCTACACTTCACAAAATGATTGAACCTTACCGGAATGAGCACGCTCGCTGACCTCATCAGGGGTCATATACTGAGTGACATTGGTGTAGAGTGTAGACCTGTCCAGAGGCCAACCATTCTTGCGACAGGTAGCTTGCACTAAAGCAGTTAAATAGGATTCAGGGATATGAAGTCCACTCAACCACATTACTGGAGGCTCACTCTCATTCACCTATGGTAGTGAATCAGATAAATATGGGTTAACTATTGACGTTTGGACATTTCTCTTTTATTTCCTTTTCGTTAGTACACAATATCTCATCCATCATCAACTTCTGATGTTTCATTTGTATTATTATCATTTGTATTAGTATTATTGGGATTTATCAATTGGTAAGTTTATAGAGTTTCTTCTATATAAATATTAAAATATATTTAAGATATTAATAATAATCATATTAATAAAGAATATTTTTACAGCACCAAACCCTCACCTCAGAAGAATGCACATACAGAGTTTTGTCCCCAGAAAACATACTTATTGGAAAAATGCAAGCTTCAGGTTTGATTTAACTTCACAGAACTCGGCCAGTGTCCAACAATTGAACCTAGAACCCTGGGACTAAAAGGCAAACACCTCACCCATTAAATCACAACTTCACTCTCAGCAAAACCTGTACCTACCCATGTGGTGTACTGTGCAAATCGCCTCTGGAAGTGGACCATCCAGTTACCAAGTGACTTGAGTGTATCTGGTGCAAGTTGTCTCCATATGTTTGGAATCTGGCCGTTGTATAGGGACCTTGACACGTTGTCCAGGACAGTACTCATGCCCACTTCACCTTTTAATGCCTAGTAAAATTAAGTACATAGTATAATTTACATAATTATTCATCCATTTTTATCTATTCATACAATTGATAGTCTTTGATTGAAAAACACCATCTCCTGCAAGGGATTAATTTCAAAAATTAAGGCGTCGGATTGTTAACAAGCTTTTATTCTTGAGGCAAGGCTACAAAGGGGATATTTTTTTTTATATTATGTTGTAGGTGTTTGATGATTAATCTGGAACGGCTAACAAGATACATATTATTGAATATTTAAAAAACTGGGGGCTCAACTGCATCACACGAAGACTCATCAAACATGATTGCCATCCCCACAGTGACCAAAAAATGAAATTTATTCCCCACTTTGTAATTAAAGGTCATTTACTGGAATAAACTTACTATTGCCAAAGTTACGGGTAAAAGTATTACAGATTACATACAAAAGTATACAATACTGCCATATTCTTATGCCAATTACTCTGGTTTTGGGATGGCAAGCACCATATAGGCATAAACCCTCATGTTTTTGTCTACCAGACAATATCTGATCAGATGTTATCTGATGAAATTTTAGATATCTGGATCAGATAAAAATTGTGTTTTTGTAATCTGCATTTAAATGTCAGACAATCCTATACTTAAGTACTGTCCTGGCTATCAAATATTATTTGACAAAAAAGCGTGTGATATTATGACATCACATCATGACTATATATAGGCATATCATGACTATATATGGGCATATCATGACTATATATGGGCATAGAACAGTATTTTGTCAAATACAATTTGATAGTCTAAACAGAGCTAACATCAAAATGTGATCAAACTTTGTTTACTGACAGAAAAATAAAAATTATGATTGTGTATGCTTGTAGGAAGATTACAGCACATGGGATGTTCTCTCAAGCGTATGGCATCACTTACTCTTTGTAGTTCAGCAAGAGATTTTGACATTCGCAGAATTAGTCTGTTGAAGCGTTCCAACTCTTGTAGCAGCACCACTGTTGTTGGGGACACATCCACGCCATACCTCTTGCGTAGTTTATCCAAGTCAAACTGCTGGGGGAGTTTGTTTTGGATGTCCGAAGCGATACCAGCGATGAAATCATCACGACTGATACCAGTTCCAGACTCGCCTGCGAATATATGAGTAAAGGAATATATCATCACAATATCTTTAAATATAAATTATATTAATTAATAAAATTGGCCTACATTATCAATACTTCACAGAGAATCACACGAGTATGTTACTGACAATAAAACTGAACATTAATCAATAAATACTGATGTTGATGAAGGCCCACCTGTTTGAGGCTGCAACTCCACTAGTTGTGACCACATGTCTCTTGCTGCATTAGTGTAGTAATTAATCTCAGCGTTGGGGTGCAAACCGAATACCTCTGGAGTATTAGCCAATGGGAGCTCCTCAATTGCCTCTGTAAAAAATAATGATAATAGTGTTCAATAATTTTTCTTGTAACATTATTTTGTTTGTGAATCTGCAAATTTAGAAAAATATGGTAGCCCCCATTTAATAAAGAAAAAATGTTAAATGTTCATACTAGAAATGTCACTATCAATTCACTTAAACTTTTTTCTACAAAAGGCCATAAGTAGATTATAATATGTAAATTATAATACTGTTAAGGTCATATAAATTTAAGGGTTTGTCTCAAAGCTCTCCAAAACGCAATGCGGAATGCGGTTTTTAAAGTTTTCTTTTTTTTAAATATGTCTTAAAAATATTTTTATTGAGAACAATAATACAAACATTTAAATTAATATGGCCTAAAAATAATAAAAGTTATAATGAAAATAATTATAATAAAGATAACACTAATTATGAAGAACAATACATATAGGATTGTGAACTAATGTATAAATTGTTTTTTGCCACTTACGAGTATAATTGTCCTTTGGTCCAAGTTCTGGAATGTGATAATCAACATCATCATTGTAGTAGAAGTGGAAGGGTTGGAATGTGTCAAAGATGAAGTCACCCATATACTCATCCATGTACGTGTTTAGAATCCTCCTATCAAAGTTGTCAATGGCACGACCCCCGTACATCACCTAGAGTGATAAAAACAGCTTTAGGTACACATACTTAACGCTAAGTTCAATTTATCTGTCATTCAGTGTTGTGACATCGTGGTGCTATGAGAAATCTTGTGGTCGCTTGTTTGCGACTAATGAGCATTTTTACCTCAGTAAATTGTTATAAAATAATATATTATATTCCTAAGTTTTCCATAAAAGCAATAACTAATCCATATTAAATGCTGCCTACCTCTCCAATCAAGTATTTAAGACTGTTCCATGGTATCTTGGTGTCACCTTGCTCGAAAGCTTTTGTCAGGTACGTATTCAGTATCTCATGACAGACACGAAAGTCAGATTCGTTGAAATCGTATGGAACATTCCATCCAATCTTACCATACTTCCTTCTCTCCTGAACTACAGCGTGGAAGAAGGCCAGCACAAAGATCAGTGGTTTGAACGATGGGTGAGGGCAGTCATCCAAGGCATTGGCAGAGATCTTATGATAGGTGCTTCTGAGATTTAGCTTCAGACCGTTTGGTGGTTCTGTTACAACCTTGAGAGACCGTTGAAGGATGCCAATGGGAAAAGCTGGAGTAGGGTCTGTTGTCAACCATAGTCGGAAGTCAGGATGTGGTTTGGTGATCCGCTCTAAAGATTTTTCAAGATCACGAAGCCATTTTGCAAGCAGGTGACAGTTCTGTAGCATGAGCCACTGACCACGTGCAATAGCTGTCTCTAGCAATTGTAAGGCCACCTGAAAGAGAAAAGAAAACGTGAAACGTGTGTATGTATACATCGCCTCTATATTAGCCACTACTTACCTGCCAACAAATAGATGACAATGAACAATATCAATTGACTTGTGCACAAGAATTTATGCCTCTGTACAAGTCCATGCTTACATGCATAAAGAAATAAACAGAATAATTGTGGCATAAAAAAATACATGAATTCAGCATTTGATTTTATTAAGAATTTTGATCATTTAAAAAAAAATTGATGTTCGTAAAGAATTTAATGATATTCACTTTTATCACCAAAAATCACATATTTTATATAACTTTTTACCTTCTCTTGTCCCTGACCCATTGACAAGAACTTGAGTTTGTTTCCACCAAAACCAGACCTCTCAGCCAACTTAGTCAAATCACTAGCTGGATCCGAGCCTGGGCTCAGGATAAAAACGATTGGCGAGAATGGTGTGCTCTGGTCCCAGATGGCATCGTAGCTGATAACAGGAGGAGTGACATACTTCTCGCCCATACGAGAGGTGACATAATCGGTTATAGCACGGTAAACACGATCCACCCGGAAACAACGAAGGAGAAGTAGTCTCTGAAACTCATTGAGTGTGTCCTTGTATTTTCCTGGAAATGGGGCTTGTTCCGGCGCATCCAGGTCATACCACTGAAAAAAAAAAATCAACGATGGACACATTGATAGACTTGTATTGTGGAGTAACAATTGGCTATTACAGTTTAATAAAGAAAAATGCAAGAGTCTTCATTTAGGTCCCAGAAACTCTGAATATTTTTATTCAATGGGGGATACTGTTTTGTTTGGAGTTAGACAACAAAGAGACCTTGGAATAATTGTTACACCAGATCTTAAATTTTCGACCCATATTTCTATAGTTGCTAAGGCAAACTCTATGGTTGGCCGTATAAAGAGAACTATTACTTATAAGGCAAGGACATGTTTATTCCGCTTTATAAAACTCTTGTTAGGCCAATAATGGTGTATGCAGTTTAGGCTTGGTCCCCACACTATAAAATGGATATTTTGGCTTTACAAAAGGTATAAAACAGGGCAACTAAATTGGTTCCAGAACTTTGATTTCTTTCTGGTGTTTCAAGAAAAACTGCATTGGGGTTATGATCATTAAATGAGCGAAGAGACCGAGGAGATATGATCGAAGTTTTTAAGATTTTTCATGGTTTTGAAACAAAACATTGATTATAAGAGTTTTTTTACACTTTCACTTTACAAAGATCACACAATACTCTTTGTCACACATATAAGATTCTTAAACCAAGACAAAACACTGTTTGTTTTCCAACCGCAGGGTCATTGACAAATGGAACTGTCTATCCGAGCATGTTGTCAGTAGTATATCACTAAATTAATTCACAGCAAACTATGACTGACACATTCAAAACTTGAGGAGGCAATATTATGAGTACTTAAACTCCCTGCCTCCTTATAATCACTAAGGTAAGACAACTACCAAGTACAAACTGAATAGAGACATTCCTGATGATGACATAATTAATGTTGAAATATTGAATCCCGACACGATGGTGTGCATTTTGATATTTGGAGTATGTATTACACTATCTTATTTGGATAGAGAAAATGTGACCTCTTTCCCCAAATGATGACAATAATAGACTTGAACCTTTATGTCACAACATATATGCACGACAATAGACAACACTTCATTCATTCATTCATTGTTTGGGAATTACATTGTACATTGGATTTGCATGGTTCGATTTCACAATAACCATCGAGAGTGGCAGTCAAATTAAAAAGGTTAAAACCAGTATGCTACATAGAGGTGTACATACCTTCTTCCACTCTGCATCAATTCTATCCAGATCGTCAGGGAGGGTGTTGAAGACGTCGGATATCTGGTGCAGCTGCATGACATCCTCCCAACCTTGCTCTGGCATCCATTTATTAGGACACTTCCTCTTGTTCTTTTCCAGTGACAGGTTGCCTTTAATGAAGAAGTCTAGTTCCTCTTGAGGGAGAAGTCCCTCACTCTGCTCCAGCTTAATGGTCATTTGGAAGGAAAACAGCAACTTGTGCTTCTCAAATAAACCTATAAAGAGATACATATTTGTAGAAGTTATTTTATTTATTTCACAGTGCTTTTTGAGGGAACCTGCAACTATTTTTTTTTAAAATAAAAAAGGCTTATAGTGGCACATGTGTGGGAATTGACTGACATAAAGCTCCATCTATCCTATCAAGTTTCATTGTACCCTATAGTTGCAAGACACCTATTAGGCATTCAAACCTCTGGTTCCCTAGAGCTTCTGTAGTAGTGATGCAACCTGTGACTACTGTATGTATATTCCTAAGGTAGTATTTTCCTAATACTATTCAACAAAAGGAAATAAATTTCTTCCATAGCATTTACCATAGAGGTATTTCCTCGATGGTATTGCAAACAATATTTATCTAAATTTACTAAACGACTATTTTTTTTTTTTATTAAAAGAAGTTTAATTTTATATTAATATTATGTGGAATGTGCTGAGTGTTGCCTTAATTAATGGCCTACAAAATATATATCACTATATTTATGTATAAACTGCATTTCTTTTAATTTCAAGAATGGTTAGAGTTTAACTAGAATCACAACTAACCATAAACCCTTTAGAGCTATAGGTTCCAACACCTCATTCCCCTATGTTAACTTTAAATGAATATGAAATTACATTTATCTTTACCTGTTTAGATTGTATTATTATTATCATTAATTCTTCTGTTTTGTTTTCTATATACTAATTCTTCATATATTGTTATTTAGTAAAAAAATAATGATAAATTAATATACAATGATATCTAAAATTAAATCTGACACTCAACTGAAAATAACTGAATAAAGAAGATATTTGTATTAGGGAACCCTATCTTTCAGCGATAAAGGACATTTAATTCTTTAATTTAGTTACATATTTGCTGGCATATAAATTTTAAGTTATTATTGTACGTATTTATTTGTCTTCCAAAGTTTGTGATTTTGATACCTACTAAGAATCTGTTCCTGGACCTAGACACTTGGAAGCCCCTGACCCAACCAATGAAAATTACAAGAACCTCCCACACTAGCCCTACTGATATTGAAATCATAGCTATGCTGATAGTGGAGGTCACAAAGTTGATGACTATGAACAACCTTTAATTGTGGTTGAATAATTTTGGGCGTAACAGCATGTTTGCAATACTACTTGAACTTTGCTCTGTGGTTATGTAACTAAACCCAGACCAGTTGATGTCCAGCACCTAGTTACACAGTACGGAGACATTTAACAGTACATGATTTCTGCTTTTGTCATGGGTGTATCTTAACACATTGTAATTTTTACGACAGCAATCTCAAGGTAATTGCTTTACTAATTATTTTCATCTCTGCTTTTATTCTAATTTATTTATTGTACTTTTTACTCTTTTTTTGGTCGAGGGTTGGGGGGGGGCTGTGATGATCATTGTGGGTGCACACATATTTTATATTTATTCTTAATTTTATATTCTGTTTTTAAATTAAGTCTAGGGAGGTTAATTATTTTGCCACTGGTTATGATGACAATGTGGCTATCTGGCCTCACCAAGTATTGCTAACCATACTTCCATAAAACAAAAACAAATAAAAAATTTAGAAAGTGGCACTGCAAGCTTTTCCCCATTGGTAGACTTGTAAAATTGCCGACTGGTTGACAATTTTACAAGAACAATAGCCAGCAAAGAATGTTTAACACCAGACAAAAAGTTATGTATGCCTACTGTCTATACCTTTTTAAAACATTTCTATTCAAAGCGATTTAAACTATATTTTGTGCATTTTTCATTCTTTTTCCTTTTTATAATTGTCAAAAATCTCTAAGTCATATATTAGGCCCAACAAAAATTTATGTTACTCAAGCCTACTAATTGAACATTTAATAAAATCTTGGTTTTGTTTTTCTTTTGGTATAAATGTTACTCGAGGATCCCAAAACACTTATATATATATTCAATTAAACTGCAGTTTGTAAAAAAAAAAAACACAAAACACTATTGAACAATTGAATAAACATTATAGTCTAATAGCCTGCTATTAATGCATACACCAATACATCGGTGTAAAGCATACTGTACTAGCCTGTAAATTATGCTTCCTTGGAATAGCTATCAGGGGGTGGATGCAGAGATTTACGAAAGGGTGGGAAGGGCACATAGAGAGACATATGAACCCTAGAAGTCCAATGATGGCTCCTTCAGGGTAAGTAAAGATATTTTGGACCTGCACACCCCCGCTAATTCCACCCCTGGCCGCAGTGTTCTTTGTGTTACTTTTTATGTTAACCATTGCCTTCTGTGTTATATTTTATGTTTACATTTGAATTCTCTGTGTTATGTTATCAGATATTCAAGATGGCAGCTACCAGTAATGTACGGCAATTTGTTGACCATTTGGATGAGAAAGTGTTAGAATGTCCACTCTGCTACAAAAGGCTCAAGGATCCTAAAACATTTCCCTGCCTCCACACTTATTGTTTATCATGTCTCACAGAATGGGTCAACAAGAAGAGTAAGCCGGTCTGTCCAACCTGTGGCGAATCCTTTACTATTCCCGATGGTGGTCTACAAAAACTGCCTCCAAACACATTTATCAATAATCTATTGGAAAGTATTGAGCAACTTGATGATGTAGACAAGAAGATATGCTATTGTGGCCAGAATGCTGCACACTTCTACTGTCAAGAGTGCATGCAGTACATATGCACTGCATGTAAACACACTCATGAAACCTTACCATCACTGCTAAATCACAAATTACATACAATAAAAGATATTCAGTCGATGACAATAACACAGTTTTCTGCATTACATCCACCCCTCTGTCCTGCTCACAAAAAAGAATTAGAATTTTACTGTAAAGTTTGTAAAGTTCCCGTTTGTATGCACTGTGCTATCACTGATCATAAAGAGTGGGCTGGTAAGCATGAAACTATTCATATATCGGAAGCATTCAAGTTATTCAAACAAACATCTACAGAGTTGAAAAAAAATGTTGATGTCTATAAACAAAAGATTCAAGCTGCTCTTACTAAAGTTCACCATAAAACTAATCAACTTGAATGGTGTAATGTATCATGCAGAAAGGATATCAATAATTTTGTTGAGGAAATGATTCAAATTATAAGAGAGAAAGGTGAGGAACTAAACAGAATGTTAGATGAAGTATACACAAAGAAGAAAAAAATTACAGATACACAAACAGATGAACTCAACACTATTATGCTGAATGTTGACACAAAATGGAACTTTATTGCTCAATTACTAAAAAGCAATGAAGCAACAGCTTTGCAGTCAAGCCATAATACAATCAAAAGTATACAAGAAACAATCCAGAAATTACCAGAAACAGAACCAAAGGATAATGGAGAAATGTATGTTAACCTCAACACAGAATATCATGCAAAAACACTTAAACAGAAAGCATTAGGTTTCATTACTGAAACATGTTTGGAAATAGTTACTGCCCCCACAATGTTGACCAAAGAACAAGCATTTGAGTGTGAAATAGTTCAACACAGTTCTACTAAAGTAGATAGTAATTTACTGAAAGCAATTTTGACATCTCCTGGAGAGGAAACAAAATTGGAAACAGAGAAACATGATGAAGGAAAGTATGTAGTGAAGTCAATGTGCAGAAGTAATGGTGTTTGGAAACTTGATGTCAGTTTTGGTGATGAACCAATTAGAGGGTCTCCTTTGATGATCACTGTAGAGAAGCAAGGTCTGATAAACACAATAGATATATTGCATGGAAACAAACCCCTGGATGTAGTATTGGATGAAGATGGTTGTCTGTTAGTTGCTCTGAAGAACAATGAAATTTACAGGTTTAAACAATCAGGTGAATATGTCAGTAAGATAACACTACCATCGAAAGTGCAGGTTATATCAATGTACAAAATGAAAAAGAATGGTTTGATAGTATATTCTGATGATGGAAATAAATGCATAACATTATGTAAACCGAATGGTAAAGTGATCAAATCAATTGGTAAGGGAGTATTGAAAAATTACAATGGTTTTAATGTTGATGAAAAATTAAATGTTGTGTATGTTACAGACTCAATCAATGAATGTGTGTTCATGTTTAACATGGATACTAATCAGATGATCAGAAGGATTGGGTCAAGAGGTCACAGTGAAGGTGAATTATATAATCCATGTGATGTTCATGTTACTAATGAAGGACATCTCATTATAACAGATTGTGGTAATCACAGATTACAATTATTTGACAATGAAGGAAAGTTCATGAAGGTTCTTGTAGGTGATGGTGTTAAGGATGGTAAGGTGCATGGTCCAGTTAGTGTTACAATAGATAAGGATAATAACATGCTTGTAACAAGTAGGAACAAACTACAGTTATTCAACAGTGATGGACATTTCATTAAAAGAATTGATCAAAAAGAAGATGGGTTAAATGTTCCTTGTGGATTATCAATTGTTTCTTATAATCCAAGAAGAGTTGCTGTAGCCAATAAATATGGGAGAAATATAAAAGTATACAATTACTGAAATCATATATATCACAATTTCACTCATCAATCCATCTTTATTCTTGCTGTTTACATAGTAACAAAAAGTAAGTTATCTTTAGAATACAACTCATAAATAACATAATTCAACAAAGATTTAGAATTTCATATTTTATTAATTCGGACCCTATACTTTTGCCCATCAAACCAGTCATATTCTTGTATATACATGATTATAAAAAGTAAATTATCAACACTTATCAACTTAAAATAAAAGAAGATCTTTACATTGCTTGGGGAAATCCATCACTTAACAAACAAACAACTCATTACAATATCACTCTCTTATTCTAATTCATTCTAATTCCTATATACACTAACTATCATTCCTGACCTCTATATATATGACTTACCTTAATATTTGCTTGTTTCGTCTTACATCTGACCGGTAGTATTTAAACCGTTAGTAGCATAAGCATTATTACCTGATGATGACGTGGGACACGTCGAAACATGTTGTTTATAAGTTACATTTACTTTATTAGATGCATTACTGCATTTAAATTGTGTGTAAAAAATTTGATTACATTATAAAAAAGGATTAACAAATTAACAATTTTATATTAAATTATTTAAAATGATATAAAAAGAATTTTTGACCTTCAATTGATACTACTAGGCCTAGTTTTGTTGTGAATGAATTAGTTCTCGGTTAATCCACAAATTGACTGGACTACTTCTGAATACTTTGAAATGATACTTAAAACTTTAAAAGGTGCTTGATTTTGAAATTATTTGTATTTTTACACTGATATTAAAATTTTACTGTTATGTTGATGATTTGAAGTTTAACACGCTGGACCTTCATTTGATTTATTTTGATTCAGTTTATATTTGATATACTTGCTTTGTTGACATTGAATTTGAATTGCTATGCTATACTTTAACATTTACTGACATTGAATTTGAATTGCTATGCTATACTTTAACATTTACTTAATACTTTCCATATGAGGCTTCTATCCCAAAACCAGCGTTAGTGACTAAAGCATTATTTGACTTTTTATTATATTATTATTCCCCACACTATAGGCCTAAAAAATAATGGGTCGTTTTACTGCAATCAACTTATTATTGCCAAAGTTATGAGTAAACCTATTATGGCTTCTCTGTATACAATACTGTCATATTCCTATGCTAAGTACTCAGTTTGAAACTAGCGACGGTGTGCTAGTTTTGGGATGGCAGGCCTCATATATTACTAGGCTTGATTAATTAAGAGTTTAAAATTAATCTTTAGTTTCAAAGACACAGCTTGAAATTGGCAAGCAGGGGCATGTAGCATGGTATTCTATGGTTGCGTGACACCTCTGGTTCCCCAGAGACTACCAGTAGCATTGGCGCAACCAGTGACTACAGAATGCACATTCCTGGGGTTGTAACTTCCTACTACTACTTGAGGGAGTTGCAACCACTACATTGAAACGTGTTCCCAAATTATAGTGACCAAATGTGTCGTCAACCTATGTTACCTGTCCCCATGTATATACTGTACAGTACGTACCTGTAATTAATTAGGAAATCAGTTTGAGTATTGATTTTATATTAAAGTTTATTTGTGACTGTTATACTTCTGTCTCCTGACACCTTATTACAATGCCTTGATTGTTGACATGTTATCACATTCCCTATATGGACATTTTGATGCCATGTCTCATCCTTATATGGCAGTTATATGGTTAGAGCCTAACACGAGCATACTTTTATTTGGCAGTCATAAATATTATAAAACAGAATGTGTCTAAATATAAATGAAGGAAGAGCTAAGTAATTGTAAATCACAGGATTGAGGTGTACAGATATATTCTTTTCATAAGTGCCCTACTTTAACTATGTATTGCATTTTGTATCTGGAGGACACTGCCTCTTTAATCAACTCACCTGTACATGCGTAGTTGTAAACATTATGCGTCAGCGCATCCTTGATATTTGCCAAGCGCTTCAGCAAGATGGAGTCGGGCAAGCTCTTCCTCAGGGAGTGTGTGAACACATCCAAAAATGAGCTTAACGAGTACTGGTACATGTTGTTGATGAGAGCCATCTCTGAGAGGACGAAGAACAGGATGGCACCACGCTTAGCTGCAGGACGATAACCATCACGTGTCTTGTCGATGTCCACTGCTGTCTTGGCTGCCAGCTTCAATTTCTCAGAAACCTAAATACATTTAAAGAAATTTATTTAGTTTCTTCTATTGCAGATGCTACAGGTTCTAAGCCACTTTCACACAGACGGGCTGGCAATATTGCTAATAAAGATGCTTGTATGCTTACCTGCATGTACCCTTTAAACAAAACAAATATTGTGGTAATATTGCGGTAATATAACGCCTTTCTGTATGAATGGATTACGTACTCTACATGTCATTGGTAATGCCAATTGTATACAAAAATTCAAGTTTGCCTGTAATTATTATGCTAGGCCTAGATTTATGACATAACCGGCCTACTGCACACACTACATAAAATATTTTCGAGGGCCCCAGTTTGCTGTGTTTTGATGTAGGCATAGTCCCCTACCTCCTCCCAATTATACCATGTATATGAGTTTTAAGGATAATAGGGTAAATTTTATTATTGTTTAGTTCATTACTTCTAATCTAATTATCCTGAACATTGGAAAATTTCTTATCTGTCAAATTCACCATTTTATACTAACAACCTGTTTCACCTTTTCTCAACATTTGTCAAATTTGTTATCTTTATTTAGACTGAATAAAGTAATATTGCATGAATGATATATATGCTTTCATTTCAGACACATGCAGGAATGCACCTTAAAGGCAATTCTTATTAATATTACTATTGTAGGTCTGATATGAAATGCCGTGTAACCCCAGTACTGCAGCTGCGTTTAGCCTAACCTATTCATGCAGAAGACAATGCAGGGAAGATTCCGGCAATATTGCAGTAACATAGCCCTGGCTAAAAGTGGCTTAAGATACATGTATTATTATAAATATTATCAATAATTTATATTTACCTCTGTTGCCTTTGACTTTGTTTCTTCAAGTGTCTGAACTAACTCAGTGTTGTCAAGCATGTTGCCTGTAGATGTGGCCAACTCACGCAATAGAGAGTCCTCAAGATCTTTCAGGAGACGTTTGTTGTCACTTGTTTCCTGAATTAGACGCTCGCGTTGCTCTTCCAGTTCCTTGCGTTCAAAGCCAACGATGACGCTCAGAAGTTGGTCTTCCAAGCCCTGTTTTAAATAATGAGGTGAAATCATAATATGACTTGCAACTTAATTTTCCAGTTATAAACTTATCAAACAAACACATCTTCAAGATTAACAACTTTTTTGGCGTGTGATCTTACCTTAAGTGTGACAGTATAATTGATGACCATTGCCTTACCAAACACTGCAGGTGTGTACTTTGGGTTGGACAACTTGGTATTCAAGTAAAGACGAAAATTAGGATCATAGTCAACCTCCTTGTCACCAAGCATGATAAACTCGCGTCCTGCTTGTCCTGAATAACCAGATAATGATACATTTTTTTTTATCAATTAAATTATTTTCTATAGCCATATATAACCAATTCCAGCACTTAATTTATATCTGACATAGCAACAAATTATATTTATTACCTAATGTTCATATTTTATTCAAACTTTCCTCTGCTAGAGGATAAAGAAAAGGGAATGAGGATGCATATTTAGCAAGAATATATACTGTGCCCAGGGATGGACTGTTAATATTATTAAAAAATAGCTCATTTATGAAATGGTAGACAATAGCTTAAGAAATATATTCATCAACCTTATGTTCACATCAATTTTTTAAGAGACCTTGTTTTACCTTTAATGTTCTTCTCCAAGACATTATCAATGACTGGATCAATGTACTCGTCCACATCTTGGAAGAGAAATGGGAAGCCATATTTGATAGCAAGCTCAAGCTGCTTCAAGAAGTCAGGGTCATTGAACGTGCACACCTAGAAAAAAAGATGTGATAAATCATGTATATGTACCCCTATCTGAGCATAATAATTGTAACAATGCATAAAATGACAAGAAGAAGGTTTTGATGACAATGATGATAATGAAGACAATTTATTTGGTTAATGAATATATTGATGTTATAATTATCCTTACAATTTTGATTATGAAGATTACTATGATAACAGGATAGTTTACTACTACTTTATCATCATAATGATAATGATGATTAGATGACAATTATGTCAAAGATAAGGATAATGACATTACTGAAAAATATTGAGCATGAACGATATACGTATGCCTGGAAATCCTGATAAGTTAAAGCAATTCATACCTTAAGATTATTAGGTTCTTCTTTCTTCTTGATCCAGTTAAGAGCTTGTTGCTGTGGGTCAATACAGAGTGGGAAACGACTTGCTCTCGTTGTTAGGATACCATTCTGAATGGAGAGCTCATCTGGAGGAAGTCCTTCAGAGCCCCATCTGTAGAGAAAAAAATAATAAATAAAATGTTTGAAATTGGTTGAGATAAAAGGCACAATTGACAGGAAAAATTTATTACAAAATGTGATCGTACTTGCTGATTTCAACATCATCTGTTAGCAATGATTCTACACGGAATGGATCGCTAAGCGGTATTCCACGCTCTTTCATGTCATTGAGCCATTCAACATAGATTAGTCGATTACGGAAGTCCCATGTAAAGGCTCCAACGTAGCTCAGGAAAGCGGACGAGATGAGACAGTCACCGAGCAAGCGTACTCTACGAAGCTTCAATTCTTCGAGATCCTTTGTCCATCTGTAAAAAGAAAAAAAAGTTATATATTATAATCAAACCAAATTTAATATGCTCCTGTCAGCTGACAAAAAGTTAGTTGACAAAGAGTTGTATGACAATTTGAAATGTTCTGAGAAAGCACTTCACACTGGCTTTACGAACAGAAATTTAGAACATAAAATATTAATGAATGTTAAACATTAAAATGAAAATGTAAATACCTGACATTTTCTGAGCCCAAGCCAGAGATGAGCTTATCAGCAGCAATGAGTCGCCTCTCCATGATCTCGGCCTCCTCTTGCAGCTCCTGCTTCTCCCTCATAGCCTCTTCATATTGCCGGCCTAGAGCTGCAAGCTCTTCTTCTAATGTACCTACCTCCTTATTGATGCGGTCCAGATCACGCTTGGCCTGATGAAATACCTTTTCAAGACGTGCAACCTGGAAAAAACACAAAATAGATATCATTAAAGAAAACATGAATATTTATATTTGGTATGTATATTGTGTACATGATTAAAATTTAAGATGCATACATTAATTTATCCAAATGATACTTATTATACAGTGCCCTGAAGTTTTATTACTCTTGAGATGTGTTGATTATTATAGTTAAACTACGAAGCTTAAAAGCTTACCTTTTCTCTTTTGGGTTTGATCTCCTTGGCCACGGCGCAATAACCCATGACAGCGGTGACAAACTTGAACAGCCCAGCTCCTGCTTTTGAGATCTTGTTCATCTCATCCAGGGATGTGTCCATTTCTTTCAGGAAATTTCTCACAGTCTTTGTCTGTGTTTCAAAAAGATAACTGAAATTGCAGTTTTATTTTGTTAGATTAATAATACCACAATCCCTAAGCACCTGTGTTTCCCTGGACACTTGATGCAGAAAAAGAATTTATTTAGATCTGAAGAGACAAACATATATGACTATTGTGTTGGAAGCCTACACATTCTGTGGCTTACAGTAGAAACAGTTTAGCTAATGAAAATTCCATTACAATGTATATCAGTTGAAAACTTCATTTCTTCATTCACCCACCTGTGTCTGAGTAATACCATCAACATCCATCTCTGTCAGTGACTTCAGAAAGTTAGCTTCTGACATCATTCCTTTGGCAGACTTCCAAGAGACTTCTCGGATGCCACGCAGAACAACAATACATTCACAAACGACTTGTACCTGCTTAGGCGGTTTAGCAAATGCTCTGGTAATTAGAAAATGAGTATAATTTACCTGTTACACATTCATGTAAGTAGTAAGAGGAAGATCAGTAAATGCAATAATTGAACTCCACATTAAATTTATGTAACTGTTGTCTACACTGATTACTGCTACATAGTAGAAATACATATATTTGATATAACTCTCTTTTGATGAATTGACTTTTTTGACCATGTTGTTATATAGAGGGTTGCCTATGTTATAAAAAACACACCAAAGCTATATGAATGAATATAACTGAGGGGAACACTTGCTTTAGCTTTTAACTGATGAAGATGCAAGCAATGCGTGAAAAAGTGAAACCCTACCTGATTTCAGTAACATCTGATTTGTCAAGGTCTGACAGGGCATCTCGGGCAGCTTCCAAAGCCGGCAAGGCTTCTGCTAGCGAATCCTCAGCATCTTTCTAGAATTTGGTAAAGAAAACATTTGTGAAAGTCAGTAGTCGAATTTTAGATTGATGGTTAGACACTGTCAAAACCAGGAATTTACTTCAAATACATACAACTAATTATTTTGCTAATGCATATTTATCTATACCAGGTTGAGATGAATGATTCCATTGATTTAAATATTCAAAAAGACATGTAACATATTTTGGTTAATATGAAAACCATTACCTTTTCAACTGAAATAACTTTTGATTGTTCTTCAATCTCTTTACTTTTGGCAATAGCTGCCTGTTTCTTCTCAGTTGCCTGTGATGTGCGTGATGAGATAACTTCCAGCAGCTTCTCACAAGCCTCAGTCTTTTCTGTAACGGCAACCTTCTGGATGGCCAGCTTCTCATTCAGTTCATTTAGCTGTTCACTGGCCTCGGCCAGCTTGGCCATTCCACCACCAAGACGATTACACTAAAGATGCCAACAATACAAGTATATGACTATAATAATAGTGTATATATAAAACAGTAACATACCAAATACTGATTATAATTACCATAAAAATAAAATTATACTAGAAATAATGTGGCTCTCTCTGATGGACTGTTCTATTTTCTTCATAGGGGAGTATTTTTAATAGTCAATTTATCCAGGTAATTATTTATAAAATAGACAATAGACAATTATGATTTTACCAGTATATATTCATACCTGCGCTAAGATATACTCATTCTTCTCATCTAAGAGTCTGAGGTAAGTGTTGATGAAATCCAAGTAGTTCTTTGGTGTGACGTAATTACTTCTTCGTAGCTTCTGCAAGAATTTCACACTGGCGTCTCCAACAGACATGTGCACAAACACAACATGCTTCACAATGTTGTCCCGATGATCATCTGGAATGTTCTTAACCTAAGGGGAACAAAATATGGTAGAGCTTTCAGTATGTTTAAGTTTTCATGGAAGGATTAATGCTCAGACTATCAAATAGACAATTGGGACTGATTAAGGTACTTACATCATCATTGCCTAAGAACACCGAAGCCACAGCCAGCAGGGCCTGCTCAGGCCAAGGCATGAACCAGTCGATGGAGCAGTTGTTGACGAGGCCAGGGAAGTTACGGCAACGTGTGCGAAGGACATCGCCAACTGGAGACATGGCCAGCACAATGTGCAGGTTGTTGGTACACTGTGAAATGAAGTACTGCCAAATTGCTTCACGGGCTGGGCCAATGCCAGCTTTCTTAGCCTCATCCCTCATCTGAAAATAATTGTCATATCATTATTTAATTTCATTTTCACATTTAAACTATGTGATGTACATCAGGTGAAAATTTTTATAATATATATTAGAGTTAAGTATGTTTTACATTATACAGAGCAGGCATTTACCTGGCCAATAATGGCTTCCTTCTCATCATCTGGGAAGAGTGCAGGAACCATTCCCGATGTCAACATATTGTTTATTAACTCAAGGAATCCTATTAAAAAAAAAAACAACAATCAATGACCTTTAACCTAAGTTATAAAAACAATCTTAATGTTCAATTGCAAAGACAACCTTGATGCTGAATGATTTGTAACTATCACTATTATAGTAACGGAAGGTAAATTTCATAACCACTATTTTACAAATAGGGTCATGAATACCTGAAAGGGAAAAAACCCAAACTATAGTATACCTTCTTGCGCTACATGTTGATCTGTGAAGAGGAAAACGGTCTTCTTCTTTTCAATACCCAGTTTGTTGTACAGTACTTTGAGATCGTCCCTGAAATTGTTTTCGTCATAGCCTCTACTAAGAGTAATTTCAAATACCTCACAACCAGCCGTAAATGCTGCCAACTTGGTTAAGGACTGCTTGCCACTACCACCTGTAATACGCAAAGTACGCAAATCTACATTAAACCACCAGGTATCCAACTAAAATTATGCATGAATATAAAAAATGAATAAAGATTGGACTTAAATCTAATATCACTGTACAAATAGGCTGATTTGCAGATTATCAAAAAATATCAACAATTTGGGAAGAGACTGCAGTTGACTACTCACCAACTCCAACTAAGAGAGCATGACCTTGGTCCATTCTGATGACACGGTGAATTCTGGTCAAATGGTCGAGAGCATCCTCAAAGAGAACTAGATTCATGGGTGTATGACTATCATTATATTCTTCGAGAATCTAAAAAGCAATTAAACAAATTTGGTTAAAATATTTCTGCACTGCAGCACACTAAAAGGGGCTTGCCTACCAACCAAAAAAATCTGGCTCAAATCCTGGAATGAATCAGTCCTATGGTATATAATAGATACATATTATGTAATCATCCTCATTCTCCTTCCGCTGTTAAAGGTAAAGGACTTACTAAATACCAGAATGTGGTAAAAAGTTTTTCCCGGTAAACAATTCCCAAAACAGAATATGAAAATCGAAAGAGAGTAGGTACATTTTCTAGGCCAAAGGGCATATGAATCTTGTTTCTATTACCTCCTGGAAGAGAGCCTTGGCAGCATCGTAGTCCTGTATGTCCTCATACAGCCTAGGCTCTGCTATATCAAGAGCGGTTCTGTAGTCACCAAACAGTAATGGTTCCGTCATAGCATGCTCAGCATACTCCCTGAAGTGCTCATCCACAAGGTTCTTGGTGAGAGCCTAGCAAAAAATAATATGTTGTTTGTGTACAATGTTATATTAAACAAATCAGTAGTGATGTTGTTAGTCTATGACGAGATACTTAGGGGTCAATATGAAACAAGTTCTACATCTAGTTTTGGTCCCTGTGATGGTCTAATTTCGCATTTTTCACCTGCAAGTCTGTTATAACTTAATTTTTTTTATTTTAAGAAATTATATAATAAGTTTTCATATGTATGTTTTCTTATGACCATTACAAAATAAATGTTACTGGGAGAGTGAGAGAAAGTTCCAAAGGATACTTCATTTTTTAAAAATTTATTACGTTTATCCAGGTAATTATTCACAAAATAGACTTAGATATGTAATCACTTCATAAGCAAAGCAATTGTAGAAAATATTTTAAACTTTTAGTTGTGATTTTATTTTAATATATTTCCAAAAACTATAATTTGTATCATTAGTAAGAATTACAAATCGAAAACAAATGTTTGGTTTTAATATTTTTTGTTTTGTTTTTATAGTGCACATTTAATTAACGTATCACTACATATGCATTTTAACTATTTAGGATAAAGTATTTGTTCATGTGATAAAAATTATATCAAATCGCACTTACTGCAACATGTGTCTTATCCTGGTCATTGATAAGCCTGTCATAGAATACTCGCAAGCATTCGTTGCGCCATACACGCACAAAAGATGCCGGTGTTGAAAACCGATCGGGTGTTGTCAGCAGCAAGCCCTGGCATACACGGGAGAGGTCACGCAGGTTGAAGATGTAGTGGAACTTGGAGGGCGTTGGTGGCAAATCTACGATGACCTGCTTGTAGAGATCCAGTGTGGCCTGTGTGATCTTTGGCGCTATGGACTGGATGGATTCATCAAATGACTGAAGATGGCCTGCCAAGATAGAGCAGTAGATGTTCTTGAGGGAATCGTCAGATGGGAAAGTGATGTTGAATACGCTAAAGAGCGAGATGAAGCGGGGATCCACTTCGTTACGCCCACCTCCAGCCTGCAAAAAAACATACAGAATGACAGTTTACAATTCACATGTTAGATTTGTAGTCCAAGGGTTCAAAAACATTGCAACATTATGAACATTCACATTTATCAATAAGCAACAAGCTCTTTCCATACCTTTCCCATGGATGCAATGTAGCCAATGTCTCTAATGTATTTCATGATGAGGTCTTTGCCTCTGTCGTACATCCCACCTTTCTCTAGCAGCAGCTTCAATAGGGCAATGGGCTGCTGGGTACCGTACTCATCCACCTAAAAAGCGATAATGATTACAATTAATAATATAAAAAATATAAATATAATAATATAAAATAGCTAATTTATCCTAGTTAGGTAGCTAATAAATGCAGGTTGGGAACTAGAGACTGACGATAGCCAAGGCCTCAGTTTACCTAAATACACGTCACTCAGCTATGTGTAACGGGAGTAATCCAATGTGTAACCTTAAATACATACATCAATCATGACGTTGGTAGTCTATGAGTGAGATATTTATCTGGATAAACCGATTAATTGCCATCGTTCCCAAAACGGAACACCCCTTCGAAACAACAGAACAGTCCAACCCAAGGCACCAAGTACGTACCGTCTTCCTAACAAAAGTCCTCATTCTCTATTCTACGGTGTACACATAAGGAGCTGCCTTTGTGCTAAGGGATTAGCTACGATAAACCATGCTTCTGAATTAACGTTTGGCCTACCTGAGGCATATTCATATCATCCATGAAGACCAGCAAGTGTTTGCCTGGTGGCGGCCCGTAGGTGTCTTTGGTACGTTTCTCAACGTTGGCTTCAAGGTTTCTCTGCAAGTCCATGGAAGTGGTTCTTGAGGAGAAGTTGATGTTCAGAATGAGCTGTGAATGGGAACAGTTACATAAGTCACATGTCTACATCCGATCTATAGATGTTTCATTCATATTTTACAAATGAAATAATGAAATACCGTACCACCTACAATAACACACAAGAATAATAAACATAATAATTACATGTGCATCTTGGTCCATGTTCCTTAAGAAGTCTTGGATGGTAGCAGTCTTAGATGTTCCAGTATCTCCTACAAACACAACTGGATGTTTGATCTTGGTCATCATCTCCAGAAGCCAGGTACTGCGGACTGTATCCACCGTCGGCACCAGGATCTCATTAAATCGCCTGTCTGGGTCGTGGATGTACTTTGGTACCAAACGACTCCATGGAATCCACTAGTGGATCAGAAAATGATTGAAAAACATTTATATATACTTTATAAACTAGTGTATATTATTTTTTAAAATTTAGATTTATTAATTTACATTAATATATTATTTTTTGTTATTAATACAGAATGAAGTAGGTTATGTATTGTGTCTTACAAGTGGCAGTGCCAAAGTCTAAAATCTGGGGGGAAAGTGAAGGGCAAGGTAAAATTTTAGGGGGGGGGGGGAAAATATTTTTTTCAAACCCAGACCAGAGATACAATTATAATCACAACACACACTAATGGGTAATGCTTCTATCCATGTGATTGTTATTTTTATTTAAATGCTCAGTGTATTTATTACGAATGTAAAAAGTTTGTTAAATGCATTGCTTTTAAATGGCCAGTGGTTTTAAAATTACAAACAGACTGATGGGAGTAATTAATTTTGTTGGCAAATCTTACAATGTTCATTTTTCTGGCAAAAACTGAGGGGGAGGGGCCAAGTAGCATTTATTTATCAAAAAAGAAGATATATAAGCATTGGAATAAACAACTTACCACTTTCTTTTCACCATCAAAGTGATACTCAAACAGTGTATCCAATTGGGCTGGTATCTCCCCGGATTTAGCATCCACGCCATCATCGGTTACCGAAGTCATTGAGGCCAGGTATTTGATGAAGCCATCAAATTTCACCCGGCCATCTTCCAGAAGACCAGCACCAAGTGACCATGTCAGGGCCTGGAGGAAGTGGGCCTCAATGACATCAGATTCAAGGTTTTCTTTGTCCAAGACAGCATCAAGCATTCTGCTTAGCTGGGTAACCTAAAGACACAAAAAAAGGACAGTGAGAAACTTCAGCTTCTGAAAAATACTTCAAAATATAGAAGCACAAAAATCCTTTTGGGTATACTTCTCTAGAGATAACAGGAGCTGTGTTGGTATCTCAGAAGTATATTTAAGTAAAATAAAACATAATTTGAGCTTTTATTTAGCAAGCCTTTATTTTTCTCTTCCATTTCATTAGGTGTCCTACAATGCCATGCAACATGTCAATCGAAAGATGCAAATCCTATGCCTTGAACTCCCCTGCTACAACCCTAAATAACAATAAAATTGTTCCTCCTGACTCAGCATTTAAGAGTGCTTTGTTATTATGAAATTGTTTGCTGTTGATGTATCCAGCCCAAGACCCCATAGCATAGGAAGGAATACAGGTTAAAGCTACACTCCATATTTCTTAATTTCAAAATAAATAATTGACTAGTCATTCTATTTTTACTCATATACCATTGTACAATTTTACAGATTGCACATCTATATTGCATATTTATATATATTATTATAATTTCATTTCTACCAGATTATAACAATTAAAGCAATTCCACATACCATATTGAGAGTTGTTAATGGCACAATTGTCTTCAGCTTTTCCCCCTGCTTGCCATCCACAACGCCCTCTACGATCATGTCTAAGGCTGGAGGAACATACTTGTTGAATAACCTCATTAAGTCCTCCTGTTCTTTCTTGTTGGTACGACTGTTCACCCACTTGGTCCAGTAAGGGTTGTAGCCAAGGTTCTTGGGGTCAACGTAAACCATACCACAGCGAGATACTGTGGCTGGAGATGCATACTGTAGATCAGACACCTGGAGACGAAACAAATGGGGAAAAAAATTATTAGTTAAACTTGCCTAAGTCGACTGTGCCTAAGTCGAATAAATTCTAAGTCGATCTTATTTTAAATGTCAAATTGCTGTGTTTTCCATTGATTAACAATCTGTAATATAATTTTATCTAAGTCAACAATATTTCAATGGCATTTTGGATTCGACTTAGGCAAGTTTAACTGTAATCAAATTTGAATGGAGCTGGTACCTATAAATAACAATGTACTGAAGGGGTAAGAGAACAAGGAGTTGGATAGATAACAATACTAATAATTAACATAATAATTAAAAATTACTAATAAAAATAACAAAATAAAAATAATAGTAATAACAATCTACATCAAGAAAAAGAAGAAAGCCAGGAATGCATTAAATAAAAATAAATACAATAATGAAATATTAATAATTGGAAATAGCACAAAATAAAGAACTTAGTTACCTCAAACAATAGAGCACAGTGTTTTTGAAGACGGATTCTCTCTCCATTTGCCAAAGTCAGCAATCTGTTGTCGTCCATCACAGAGTTCATGTTCTCAACCCAGAGGGCATCAACATCTCCGTCAAACAGGATGTACTTGCGTTCATTCTTGTCCGTTGGTTTGTTGATATCTCGGAAGATGTTGGACAGCAGGCCATCGGTCCAGTCACGGGTCACCGGATCTAAGATACCGTAAAGCTCAATGACTGTCATAGCCTTTGGGTTCATGATGTAGATTTTGGTGGCTAGTCCAAGTCTAATGGTGGAAAAAAAATTGTAGACCTTTTATTACATTTGTAGTAGTCAATGTATCATGACAAATATTAATAAATTACCATTAAATACCTGAATAAGGGGATATATGCTTTTGCTTAAACAAACAAACATAATTATCACATCTGTTACAATATAATGTTCATCATCAATACAAGTATAAAATATATGAGAACTTACTTCGTTTGTGACTGTGCTAAGGTGTTGATAACAACTGACTTGCCTCCACCTGTTGGACCCACTATCATAGTGGTATGCCTCGTCAGCATCGTCTCATACATCTGCACAACTTTATCAACCTACAGATAAAAATGATAGGTATTTAATATCAGACAATAATGTTTATTATACAGCTTTATCCACTAAGAATCATAAAAGTAAGTTAAACTATGTTATTCTAATAATATATTATTAGGCTCAAATTTCAAAATACAGTACTTACAATATTTTAACCCAACTTTGGTGTTTAAAGCAGCAAGCAACATAATATTCAAATTTAAAAATGAAATTCTTTGATACGTGTCAACACCTCACCTGATCAGGCAGCAGCACATAGTTGTTTTCCTCTAGCACTTGTTCTACAGCATCATTGAAATTCGGATAGCGCACACGAGGGCAGTCTAACCCTGGGAAAAGATCCGAGATTAACCCAAGGAAGAGCGGTACATCTTCAAACACAAACTTGGGTAAATTCATATCACGAAGGGCTCGCATTAGCACCACATCCTAGAAAGAGTATATTGTTAAATGAAGATGATTAATTGTTTTATATACAAATTGACGAAATTGTTTATACCAAACAGCATGGTAATCTTATTGTCTTTTTAGCAGAAGTAGACATCTTTTTACCTCTGGCAAATCTGGAGAACCTCTCTTCAACTCTCCTGCCATGACGAGCACAGACTTGAGGGCTCGCAGACCGAAATCATAATGGTACTGCTTGGATAACTGTTCCTTTGCTAGCTTGTAGAGGACGGTCATTTTCTTGGCTAGAACCTAGACACAAAAATAGCAATAAAAGAGATAAATGCACATAGAAAATTGTGGGAATCACTGTAGCCTGTAATAATTGATTGAAGCAATAAAGAAACAAACAAGAATCCCTTGGTCCTCCTAATTTAACTCAATAACTCTGCAGTTACTATATTTATATTTATATTCAAACATCATTAAATAAACATAAATCAATCAAATTTGAATGTGTGTAAAGATGAATAAAAGGTGTAGCAGGGTTAGTCTGCTATAAAACGATATAAGAAATGACAACAGCACTTTTAAACTTATATCAAATTTATTGACGCTAGCTTTCGTCCAAACAGGAAACTGTGAAGTCAACTGTTCCCTGATGAAGTCCACTGTGTGGATGAAAGCTAGAATCAATAAATTTTATTCCTAAAAGTGCTGTTGTCATTTCTTATGCTAATGGATGTAAAGTAATTGTATACTGAATGATAACTCCTTCTTACCTTTGCAAGAAGGAATCCCTCAGAAAACAACATGATCTCACAAATTTGATTCAGATCTGGTACGATGACAACAACAGGTCTGAAAAGGGCTTTCACTGACTCCGGAAGCTCTGTCCTTCCAGCATAGCCAGGGTTCATCGTGATGAAGATACCCATACGATTGTCCATGGTGATCTCAGCACCTTCAAACTATAAGATAAAAGAGTTAATTTGTTAAAACTCGGTAAAGTACTCAGCAGCTTATAGAGGGTTAGTGGTGTTGAAAATTCTCTTATTTACTCCAGCTACCTCCACCTAACTTTGTTAGGTTATATACTAGCAATGGTCAAAGCATCTGATAGACAATGGGGGTACCTATTATATTAAAACATGTAGAATATGCATCACAAATGAAGGTACCTTGTATATATGTATGGCCAGCAAAAGAGTATCCAACAAATATAGTTGCGGTACATCATTTACTTACATGGAATTTCTTGAGGTTGTGAATAAGAGCATTTCTAATGGTCTGAATCTGTGACGAGATGACAGACAGGACAGAAACATCAATACGGTTGAACTCATCAAAGCAACCCCAGGCACCGCACTGAGCGAGACCAGAGAAGATTTTTCCTACAGCCTAAGAATCAGAAAAAACAGATTAAATTTTCATAATTAACTGTATGTTAAGCTGGATCTAGTTAAAAAAAAAAGGCAGGGTTTCTGCCATGAAAAAATTAATAATAATAAATAATTAAAACTTCCAATAATCATTGGTTTACCTTATAATCCATGCCCTCCCCACAGTTGGTGACAACACAGAGGAGACCGAGAGCCTTGGCTAAATCCTTGGTTGTCTCAGTCTTACCTGTTCCTGCAGGACCAGCTGGGGCACCACCAAGTTGCATCGACAAGGCCTACAAAATGATTGACATAGAGGTATGGTCAATTAACACACAAAAAACAAAATAAAAATGTCGAAAATAAAGAAAAGCCATGTCTTTTGCATACATGGGATATGTGGAAATAGCAGGTTCATTATAATCTATAAACACACTGAATGGATGATTTCATTGTTTATAATTAACTACCACTGAATAGAAACTGGGCATATAGTTCTCATATAGGTAAGAAATAGACAAAGTAACTCATAAACTAAAAAAAATGTAATATATTTTAGCAGACAGCAGACATGCTTACCTGTGTTAGTGTGAGGTAGATTCTGTCAGTTAATGGTGTGATGACAAGACGCCCATTCAAGCCCATGTATTCGTACCCATAACCGAACGTTCCCGTACACTGTCTGATGTTCAGCTCGTCTGGTTCACGATCCCAGAAAAATCGCAACTGACTCTCCCACTCAAACTCGCGCTCATTCAAAATGCTAGAGTGTGAAAGCAAATCAGATTAAATTTAAAATGATATATTTTTTTCTTCTTCGCAGAGATGAAAAAGCAGCAATATCTACGTAAATCTATTGTTCCTTTTTCGATCTTACAAATATTTTGTATTACTTGAAAGTTGTTATCACTATAGCTTATTACATGTATCGCACTGTGAAAGAGAATGAGGATGTATGGTTGGATGCAGGGTAATTTATGCAACATACTAGAGAACAACTCTTCCATAAATTTATGAGGGGTGTTCTCACAAAAGAGAATTTGTAATAGCTAGTTTATCTCCAGCTACGGCATATACTGAAAAATTAGACTGCTGCAGAAGCAAGATTAGAATGATGATGATGATAATGAAAATATATATCGATGACATAAAAGTAATTTTACCTGTCCCTAACAAACCCATCAATGATATCTCTAGCATGGACATCAATAATCAGCACAGAATTGAACTTGGATCGATCATTTTTAGACAATGGTGAACGCACCTGAAATATATTATAAAAACATAATAAAACAACTATATCATTTTAAAAACACAAGTATTACAGAAAGAATTTCGGAGGTAAGATTATTATTTTAAAGAACTAATGAATATAAGACTGAAGGGAACATTTTCTTTTTACCTGAACGACTAGATCATCAATCTGTTTATGCATCCTCTTGGCGTAATTCTTCATTGCCATTTTATCACCCAGTTTCACTTTGTTGAATACATCCGCCACCTCCCACGTCCACCACACCTGGTTAGCTGCCAGCACTACCATACCTTGGTACATGTACATCCACTCTACTCTGTAATTACATAAGTTATTTATTTATTTTCAATTATTTAAAGAACAGGGGATTGCAAAATTTTCTTGTAGAAGGCAAATTAGAAGGTGTTAGAGGAATGCCATGGAAATCATAGATGAGGGACATTCAGGAATGGACACAACATAAATATCTTAGAATGTGCATGATCTAGTTGCATATGCAAGTTTCCGGTGCTACTTCCTAGTAACAGGTAGAAAATTAGGGAAGGGGGTAATTAAATTTGAAAGATGATAAATAAATTTGAAAGATGATATTCTCTTTTGTCACTCATATCTAAAAAATAAAAACCCTAGGAAGAGAACCATACTATTAAAGACAAGGATAATCTCTAAAAAAAATAAAAAACAAATGATAAATATATGTTATTAATCTACATATATTGACTTCACAAGTACCTTGTTTTACCATCACAGTATTTAAAGATGGCCTCTTTGGTGATGAGTCTGTTTGTCCTTCTCATTTCTTCCAGGACGCCAGTCATCCAGTCTTCTACACGCCCCTCAGCAGGCACGTTCTGCCTGAAGACCATCTGCTCGCCTTCCGCCGAGTTCATTGCTATAGCCAACGTTTCACGGTTGTTGCCTTGTTGAAACTGCAGCGATGCAATGTTGTCATACATCTAGTCAAAAAATGATTGAAATGATTTCAAATAAAAATACTACCACTGACATAAACAGTAGGGGGGTGGGGAGCGCGGTTTTGAGTTCTCGTGCTGCTTCAGTCAAATGTATTTAAACTAAAAGAGAGCTGCTGGTCCAGTTTCATTCTCTGTTTATTTCTATATTATTATCTGATACCTTCTGTACGCTATTTGTCATTCCTCGAAGTAAGACCAAAAAAAACCCCCAAAAAAACAAAAAAAACAGTATAAGATCCTACCTTGATCATGTGTTCCTGTACACAAGATGGATCACTGCTTCCAAGTATAGACAACAGTTCATCGTCAGAGATGAAGAAGAAGCGAGGGAAGGCATTCCTCTTGGAGTCCAGATAGTCGTTCAGGCTCTTCTGACATTTCTCAAGACCAGTACTGATCATTTCCAGATCCTGCAGTCGATTGGTAGCATGGCAGGCATCCTTGATCTTTGGGTTATTGGCAGTCTCTTGCATGATCTGGTAAAAAAAGAATTATAATTTAGAATCTCCCCTTGCATTGGACTTGCTGTAAGATAAATAATATTTAAATAATTCCAAGGAAGGTCAAAAGTTTTCAGAGTTGAAATTTATGCAAGTTAGTAGCCACTTGTTAATGTTGTACCTACCTTTTTGAACATCTTATCAATACTGTCAAACTTCTTGGCTTCCTCTGGTAACTGTGATCTGATATCACCACCAATGAAGATGCTCTCCAGATACATCCACTTCCGCTGAACCACCAACCAGACCTATGCAAAAAAAAAAAGAAAGAAACCCCAGGAAGTTAAATACATAAAAAAATATAAAAAAGTCGTTACTAAATTTATCTTCTGCCTTTTGTTAAATGATTCACCTTAAAAAAAACCCCAATAAATAAAACAAGGTCAATTTCTCTGGCCTTTCATTCTTACCTCAAGAACCTCTCCTATCAATGAGAGACTCTTCTCCCAAGTTTGCACTGTGCTGAGGAATGGTCCAATGAACCTGGAGGCTGACATACTTTGAAGGTTCATGGCATTGTCATCCAAAATCTGCATCACGTCATCTACCGCACCAAGAATCTTGCCTCGCTCATGCGTGCCCTTCATGTATGCGACGACATTGAACTTCATATGATCCCACGTGTCATTCACTTCTTTGATACCCTGAAAATAAATCCATCATGTCAATCAAAGCAGCTTAATTATTCAATTAATAAATCAATTATGATTTTCAAGAAGCAATTAAAAACCCTGCCATTGCACATCATATATGGATACTCAGCACTATACGTTTTTGTGATTGATGCTGCAGGCATTCTGTGATTGAATTATTTATTATTGAGACAAAGATTTGCAAGGTAAAGTATTTATTTTAAAGTGTGAGTATCTGTAGTATCTTACCTTCTCTATGCTTAACTCCTTGGAGGCACTGGTCACAATATCAGCTATCACATCTTTATAGTTGTGAAGCTCCATTGCAAAAAGGTTGTCTAGGGTGAATGTCTCAGGGTTCATGTCAAAGGATTTACCTGTCTTCTGCATCAATTCTTTCCAATGCCTACAGGTGGACAAATATACCATAAAAATTGTAATACAGCTCATATTATTATTTATGTATTTTTCTATTAAAAATATTGACATTTTGAAATAATATTATAAGATAATGCAAAAACAAAAATACCAGATGTAAAAAACAAGACAATCTTCAGGCAAAGCTTATGAAACTGGCATTGCCTTTTATAATGTGATTTTCATGGGGTGTATTTAAACCCAATGATCAGTGGCCTCATCCAGGTGATGAAAAGCAAAGGATGTAAAATTTTCCACAGGCATAGCAGCCACACCTCATTATAATATCAGCAAGCTGGACTATCACTATAAGTATGCAAATTACCTTTCTCTTAAGGCTTCATTTTTTAGGTCAACAAACAATGGAATGGAATCTTTAAACTCCTTCATGCGGCCTTCCACCATACGCGATGTCGGTGTATTTTTGACATCTCTCGAAAGTTTCTTGAGAGATTTGATGAAGCCATCAATTCCATCGACTAGGTGATTGACATTCAGATTGGCCCATAATGTCTGTGACCATTCTTCCCTTGCAGCCTAAGCAATACCAAGGTAAAAGTAAACTTATTATCAAGAGTGATTGGATTTGGTTATTGTTTATTATTAATGATCTTTCCCACCCTGTATGTATTAATTAAAAAAATAAATAAATAAAAAATAAATTTTCACAAAGTACACAGCATAAGCAATGCAGTGAATGCAAGTTACTTTTTGTTCCTTGTAGATGGTGTAAATTTGGTCCAGTCCATTCATCTCTTTCTGGACCTGTATTAGTTCTGGGTAGGACGTGATTGGAAGATCAAACAGCTTCTCAGCATTGGCCAGCTCCTGCCTGTCTTTATCGTAGGCTGCCAGCTCTTTCTTGTACTTCTCAAGCAATTCAAGACCTTTAGGTGATGGAACAACAAATACGTAATAAAATCAAGACCAACAAACAAAACGACCAAATACAGATAAAGCTAAAAATACTATAATATTCAATATTATGATTGTTTATTTTGTGTATTATCAAGAGCGATGCCCTACCTTTGTCAAGATCGTTACCAACAGCTCCAGGTCCTTCCATTTTGAATTTATCCTGGAAGCTTGAAAGTTCTGAGCCAAATCCTCCAATGTGATCAAGTGTTATCTATTAAACAATCAAAAATCCATTTAAAAGGATACGAAATGGCAAACCTATTTTCAAATTAAGATTTGTTCTTTTCATTAAAAATTAATGTATACTAGAGTATGAGCCCTTACTTCTGTAAACTTTTTCTTGACAACTATCAAACTAGCATCCACATGTTTAGACTCCAGAAAGAGGTCGTGCCACATCTGCATGATCCTGCCACACAGCTCTGTCTCTTCTTCAGTCACTGAGATGTCGTACATGCCTAGTGTCCGATACCGCTCTATGATGTCAGTGATGCGGAGCTCCACTTCCAGGGACATGGCTCTAATGTCAGCGATGATTTTCAGGACAAACTTGAGGTCTTCGAGAGTATCTGGTGACTTTTTCAAGTCAGAAGCCAAAGCCTATAAAAGAAGAGAGGAATGATAAATGCTCTTGCATGCAGTAGGAGTTTTTCCCATTGAGCAGAGAAAATGCAGCACATTTGTCATACTGTAGTATGATCTTCACTATCTGTGGCTGTGTTTAGGTCTAACTTAAAGACTCGCCTCTTAAACTAATTATCCTACTTTTATTCTTATTTTATTTATTGTATTATTTATTTATGATTCCAAACTTTGCCACTGCTTCTTTTGATTTGTTTACTTGTTCTGTGCTTGGGTTAGGCAATGATCACTGCTGCTTGTGGGTTGTGAGGTGCCTAAATATGTGGGGTGCAGCGCTTCGTATCTGCAAGAAAAGGCACTTTACAAATGTTCTGATTGGATTGGATTGGAGATGATAATCTAAAACCCTGATCTCACAATACAACTTGGGGTTGAAAACAGCACACTGGGGAAGCTCAAAGGTCAGAGCCTCTGTTTTTATATATTTGAAACATGTTGGGAAACGATTGGTAAGACGGAGGAATAGTTTTTTTTCCCGGTGGCATATGTCCCATGTTTATACACTCACTTGTTCAACAGAGTAATAAAAGAATATAGGAATGGAAATTTATGTGGAAAGTAAAAATAAGAGCTTAAATATTATATACATCATTATTAATCATCCCCAACTACACCATCATTTTCATTATATTACAATATGGTACTTAGTTATCACTTAAACTATTGATTTTGTTTATCATAATTATGCTATTATTAACAATATTATTGATCAAAACATATTTTGTATGAATTAATGCATTAAACTCACCTCAAGTTCTGTCTTTAAGTTAAAGAGCTCCTCTTTAGCAGAATCATTAAGCAGCTTGCCAAGGGACTCTACCCACTTCTTGGCATGCTCTTCAACAGTACTGGCCAGAGGGGCAAGGTTGAGGCGAATGCACTCTTGGTCCTTGATCATCAGTTGGGTGTTTACCTGTAGAAAAGATATACGTCACATTAGGTCCGTTATTTACACATACCTCTACATCAAACACCAAAATTGCCGAGACTGAAATAATATAGTGCGATCTTCTCTGGTTTCACTCTTATTTAAACCTGTCTCTTATACACATCTAGATGTGTATAAGAGACAGGCATAAGCAATGCAGTGAATGCAAGTTACTTTTTGTTCCTTGTAGATGGTGTAAATTTGGTCCAGTTGATATAAAAAAACAAGTGTTATAACTGACAATGATATAAATGATATCAGTTTTAAAGGTAACTACCTCTTTTGCCAAGTTACTGTAGAATTGCAGTTTCTCGTCATACTGTACACATGAGGGCTTCTTCAGGGCAAACTTATCCAGCATTATATTCTTTTCAAGCTTCCAAAGTGGTCTGTATCTCTTCCACCTTCAAACATCAAAACATAATTACACAAGTAAATTGCCATTTTCAAAATCCAAGCATGTAAAATCAATCACTAAGATGGATAGTTCAGTATGTTTTCATTTCTATCAGGCACACAAGAATGAATTATTAAAATATGAGCCAAACATGAAATACAATAGCAGATTGTAAGAGATTAATTCGTTTCTGTATTAAAAAATTATCAAAACATGTTCCAGCCATAAAATGAAATGTTAAGCATGTCTACATTTTAATCAGGCATACAACGATGAAATAAATTAATTTGAGCCACAATAACCAGCAAATATGACAGCAGATTGTGAGCATCCTACTTCAAGTTATAACAAAGTCTCTTGAATACACAATAGGAATTCCCCTCTGGAAGGCTTACAATCTTTTAAACTGATATGAATAGACCTTTCCAGATTGTCGAACTTGACTGACCAATCAGAAGAGAGCCAGGAATATGCACATGTCATACAAACACATGTGGTGCTCCGCAAACACATGTGTTTACACTGTTGTTTTGTGGGAACTTAATTTGTTTAAATGTTAATATCCTACCTGCTGAGGTACTTATTGATGGAGGTGAGTGTCTTCTGCATGTTCACTGAGATGTTCATAACAAGTTCAAGAACATTCGGGTCAGCTCCAATATCCTTACTGAAGCTGAACACAAACGGTTCATCCTCCCCCTCCACAGTCTGCGGCGGAGTCTCGATACAGGTACCGTTCATCCAGCGTATGAAATTCTTTGAACTACAGATACAGAATATCAAATGTTAAATTGTTTACAAGACTTTTAAAATATGTTATTGGTAATAGAAAGTAACTTCAGTGGATGTTGATTGGAGAACTTAATTCAAAATCACATGCAATGGATATATTCTCTGTGAACACCAATAATAACCCAAAAAAGTACTTTTTTCAAGTAACGTTTTTCTGGTGGTGATTGACTACTATTTTCCAAAGTGTACTGCATTCTTTATCATGCACATGGGCCATATGTTAACATGTAAATCTCATCGAAAAATAATGTGTGTGTTTTTTTATACCTCTATTTCAATCCACTTGCTAACACATTAAGAGAGCAGTGGATAGAAATGAACTGGGTACCAAGGTTATCAACGAATTACTAATGGTTTTAAAAAAACACAGTGGCTACCAATTTAGCTGACTTAGCAAAGCTGTTCTATAAAGTGATTGAACGCTCATTTCTTAAAGGCCAAAGGCTCAACACCCTTAGAAGTGATGACGAATCTTGTTATTTATGCACATGAAATGAATTAAAAAAAAACTTTAGATTACTTGACGTGAGGCGCTATAGAAATCCAGAATTATTATAATATTACTATTATTACTTATAAATAGAAATTATTATTTGAGACAGTTTTACAACTTACATGTCTACACACTCCCGTACAGACTGCATGCTGAGCTTGTAGATTTCATTGACGGCTGGTGTGAGGATGATCTCTGGAGCTGAGAGCATTGCCTCAATTTGAAAGATCAAGGTGTCGCTGGATATTGCATCACTGAATTCCCCCAGGTTGCGCATTATGAGCTAGGGGACACAATGTATTAACCCGGTTAGAAGCAAAGTCATTATTAAATGGCAACACAAGAGTTGATATGAATGTGACCACCAGGAGTCTTGTTCTATCCACCAACATCGTGCTACTGGTATTTAATAGTTTTACTTAATTTTTTGTGTAGTTAAGATTAGATCACTAAAATTCCTTAAACATCATTGATACACATTGGCAAATTATAAATGCACAAATTGTTATTGTTGTTACCATTACATTACTATTACCATTATCAGAATCATTAAGAATTTAACAGCATTCATTATATTCACCTCTGTTAGTGTATCATACACCCTCCTCTCCCAATACCGGTAGTATGCCTGCAGCTGAGGAGATCTGCCCGTGTTAGTGTGCACCACAAGGCCCTCCATCTTGGTCAGCAGTGGGCCTATTGCACGGTATTTAACAGCAAGGTTCTCGATGATGTGACTGCGATCTTGTTCAACATGGTCAAAATATTCCTAAAAAACAAGAAAATTTACAGTTAGATAAATTCATTTAATTTATTTAAAATTTTGTGGAAGCAGTTTGGCTCAGAGAGAATGGTTTGGTTTCCCAACCTCGAGGTCGGGGTTTCAATCTTTTGCTGCGCATTTTGCTTGTGTCCTAGAGCAAGGCACTTTATCTACATTGCTTCAGTCTACCCAGCTGTATCATTGGGTACCAGCAAATTGTTGGGAGTGACCTGTGGTGGACCAGCGTCCCACACAGGGGTGTATATAACTCTCATCCACTTCACACTACAGAAACTGGGGATAAGCTCCAGCCCTATGGCAAGGATTTACTTACATAATTGTTTTAACAAGGCTAATTTATCATTGACCAAAATAGTCTGCAAATATTAAAGAACAAGATGTCTTCAAGTGCAATAAACCTTGGGAGCCTCGTGCTTACTTTGCAGCTAGGCAGCAGTTGGCCTGGCTTAGATGGAGGCCCTCTGAACAGGTTTGCCTCTCCAATGACATCCAGCCTTGATTCGATATCCTTTGCATTCTTCTGAATCTGGTTGACTAATGACTCAAACTTTGCGATTGCCTGGTTACACCTGATGATGAAATCGGATATGCCGAGGGAGTTCCAGTTGAGACGCCGGTGTCCTGGTTTGAGGGTGCGCCTCAGGTCTTTCATGTGATCCTCGAGTAGTTGCGTCTCTGCATTATTAAGTGACCCGATGATGGCGTGGTATCGATCAAGCATGTGTTTCAAACCATCATTCCATCTTAGATACTTATCATCCTTAAATGCAAAGATATAAATATAGTTTACATTTATTCTTATCAAAATCACTGAACCCATCAATATATATACTGTCTCTTATACACATCTAGATGTGTATAAGAGACAGGTTCTATAAAGTGATTGAACGCTATGATTATTTGGGATATAATATGGTATAATGTCTTTATGCGCTGAAATCACAACCCAAGTACAAATTTCTTATTAAAGCTTATGAAGTACAGTTTCCATATCGTGAGCACATCATGACACTATTGTCAAGATTGAAACAAAGACTGACCTGCAAGGCAACATTACGAGCCAACTCTGGTATAGAAAATCCAAGCTGTTCAAAATGCTTAGTCTCGGTGATGATTTCAGACAATTCTGGAGCAAAATCGACCACAAACTTTACTTCTAATGCTGAAAAAAAAAAATTCATAAATTGAAATATTTTTATCGTTTTATTAATCAAGTAGGTAAAACATTGCCATTCAGTATAGGCGAGCTAGGGCTAGTCCATTATTTTCTTTTATGCGCGAGAAGTAAGTTTCAAAGGAAACTTAGGCATTTATCAGTTTATCCAGGTAAGTATTCACGAAATAGACTGTGAATTCTTGTCGATAGTACTTAACAAACCTTGGTTATTATCACGGCTGGTATCACCTGATGTTGATGTCAGTCGATGACCTGTCTCCGATGGCTTCGCAAGCAGGTTCTTCTTCAGTAGGCTAGGTAAGATGCTTTCGACATGCTCCCGCCAATGCTCATACTTCTTGTCTTCATACTCTTTCATCTGTCTTGCAACACCAAGGTACTTGCTTCTTGCCTTAGATAAAGAGAAACCATAGGAATTTAATTATTTTCAAAAAATCTAGATAATACTTAGGATTATAAAGAGATGAAAAGTTCTTTACAATTTGCTTTATACTCAAGCAAGCCTGTAAACACTTTTGACGTAGTATATACAGTATATTTCTGAATTTGACAACTTTATATAATATAGCATAATATTTCTGAATACATATATATTTTTATTTATTAACAATTGGATTAACCAAAAGGAAAAATTCAAAAATAAATATTTTTTAGAAAAATGATTGGATGTAATCGTTGCCACTGCTACCATAGTCATCATTACCACCAACACCGTTATCAAGGCGTCTATTATCATCACCACCAGTATCATCACCATCATTATCATAATATACAAAACAATATACACTTAGTATGTACTTACTGCTTTGCCATATTCACTGGACATCATCTCCTCCATTGACTGGAAGCGAATGATGGTGTGCTTGATACGATAGAAGAGGGACCTCTCCCAGGCAATAGCACCAGCAACCGGAGGTTGATTCTTGGAGACAGGTGGGTTGTTATTGTACTGCTTGAATAGGGCATGCACCGTATCAACCTTAAAAACATAGAAAACAAGGTATTAAAAAAGAAAACAGATTAGTGTGAATAATGCAACATAAATATATTCATACACATCACAGCAACACAGCAATTTACATAGTTCAGTCCCGAAGGGTTACAAAATGAAATGTATATTATACCTCCTTGCCATATTGCAACAAGATGTCATTGAATTTCTTCATCATCTGCGAGTTAATGGCCTCCCGTGACCGAATATGCTGAAAGTTAAGCAGCATGTCGAAAGCTCCTTCTGCTGAACGAAGGGTCTTGAATGACTCATTGATGAAGTGCTTGGCTTCATCTTCAATGGCGGCAACCTCTTTATCAAACCAGTCCATCACCTTACGCCATTTGCCTGGCTCCTCCAGACTAAAAGGGTTGAAACCAACCTAAAAGGCAGGAAAGAATTTGTACAAAATTAAATGGATCCAGATCTAATAATATTTTTTTTTACAGATTCTTAAAAGAGAACTAGCAAAATGATTTTTTGTTCTAGAGAGGATTTTTGATATGCCATTAATAATAGAATCAACCTTAAAATCGTTTTTTGGATTTTTTTAAATGAAGTTATAGGCGATTATATACGATTTTACCATGAAGTCACTGGCAAAAAAGTAACAAAAGATTATGTAAGTAGCGTCGCGTAGGGTATCTGCCGCGTACGATCTTTGCGTGTATGCTGTAACCATGGCTGTAAATTGTGATTGTTACAGCATGCACGCAAAGATCGTTCGCGGCGGATACCCTACGCGGTGAATACCCAAACGCGGCGCTATTTACACGATCTTTTGTTACTTTTTCGCCTATAACTTCATAAAATATAGCCAAAAAACAATTTTAAGGTTGATTCTATTATTAATGGCATATCAAAAATCCACTCTAGAACAAAAAATCATTTTGCTAGTTCTCTTTTAAGTCCTCTTCAAGGGCTTTCAAAATTCATGGTAATTTTTTACATGATTCATTGTGATTTCTGAAGGAAAACCAGTTCACTTGACTTACATCTTCAAGAGGTTCCACTAATCCATCAACTCGTTTAAGTACATCCTCAATTCTTTTAGGATCTCCAGTGACTGATTTTAACTCTGGGCCAAAGATGTTGTAGAACTCTTCTAAGACCTACAAAACACAAAGAGTTTATAGTTCTACATTGTGTAAAATTAGTACTGCAACACTGAACTACTGATTGCATGCATTTGAAGTAAAAAATGGTTTTGAAGAAACTTGAAAATCAATTTACATTGGAGAAGGTATTTTAAAACCAAATCATTCTAAAATAGTTTATATTTTTACCAGATACAAATTTACTGCTCTTTTATATGCTTCCTTCCAATTCATTTACGATTTATGTTTCATACCTGAGCAACATTGTATATGTCTTGACAGATGGTAGCCATGTAGTCTGTTCTTTCAAAGAGTCTTTTGCGATCAAACTCCCATCTGGAGTCACGACCAGAAGCTTCAATTTTCTGACGGACTTCAAAGTATGATTGTTTCCAAAGCTCCAAAGTCTTCTTCGCTTCAGATGTCCTAGCCTTTATTTGCAGTGGGGTCTCCCTTTGTCAAAACAAATTGAAGTTTTAAAACATAACTGTGCTGTTACTTTCTTGGAAAAAAACCCAAAGGTACGTGCCCATCCTCTTTTACCACACATGAAAAACCAAGAAATGCATAAATTAATTTTAAAATATTATAGAATAAACTTCACAAAAAGTATTCTCAACATTTTGAACTTTATCAAGGCCAAAATGTCGAGAATCATGGCCTCTGTCTATATTTAGAGTTACGTGATGGTTTATTCTACGTTATTACATTATCTTTCAAGGATATTTTCCAGTGTTTAACACTCTAATATTATACTATTATTAAGTTGCAACTACAGTAACTGCCTTCAGAATATTAATATAATCAGCTTCAATGATAAAATAAATATTTAGACCCACTATTAATAAACATTATTGACATACTTTATTTATAAATTTCATTATTGCAAAAGTCTCTTGATCCGGATAAAATCTACAACAATCTTACTGTACTTACTTAAAAATGGTTCTAATATTGATAACCTTAGCGACTCTCTCTGCCAACTCCCAGGCAATCCTCTCCATTAGTGGTATCATCCTCTCATCCCGGTTGTAATGCCTAGAAATAATCCACACCATCCTTAGCGCATTCATCATTGGTGGGATCGTGTCAAGAACTATCTGGAAGCCTGCTCCATGTGTGATGTTCTTAAAATGTCGCTCCAAGGTGCTCAGAAAACGTACATTATCCTTAGCTTCAACGTAAAATTTATTGAGATCGGATCTGTGTCCTTCAAAACTTTGCAGCACATGGTTATCTCCCTGGATGTCTTTCTTCTGTAAGATCTCAAGCATTTTTTTCACGGGACCGAGTTTCAATTGTTCTGATAAAGCACTGAGGGCAGCGTTCCTCTCGCGCCAGAAATCTATTTCGGCTAGTGGTCCATGTCCTTGCGGTGTTTTCTTTTGTTGGGCCTCAAGAGCTGAAGATATCTGTTTATTCCATTCAACAGCTGTGTTTTGCACCTGTGCAACTAGATCATCATCTTTAACAAGTTCATTGACATCGCCCTCTATCGGCAGATCTGGTATGTCCAATCGGACTTCACCATCTATCTGCTGGATTGTGCGGGTTATATGAGTGGCAAACTTCTGCATGTTGATGAGGAATTCATCACGGAGAAGCGCCCTCTGGTGAGATTCCAGAATGTTTACCTGCTTCGGTGAGTCACCTGATTCAGACACAATATCTTCATTTGACGTGGAGGAGAGCGCCGCCTGTTGCTCTCCGTTCGTTGGTGCTTCATTATTCTTGTGCGAATTGAATGACAATAGTGGAATAAAAACCTAAAACAAATATAAAATTAGGCATTATTACAAATTATCCTACAGTATTCTTATCTGGAATGAGTCATCTATAAAAGGTTAAACACAATATTTTTCAAAATAAGAATTCTTAATACCTGGCTAATAATTTGTTCAATCATCACCAGCGAGTGTCCGTTAAGGACACCAATTTCAAAAAACTTGGGCAGCATTTCACTGGCTTCATCGATTGTATTTGGAAGCTCCACCATCCCTGGAGTATTACGCAGAAAATAGACGCATTCCTGTTCAACCACTGCTTCGGGTACGTGACCACAAGATATATGCAGTACAGTGGTATAGACCTTCTTGATAACAATCCTCTAGAATTTCAAAAAAAGTATTTTTTAATGCCTTAAATGAATATTTTTCCTTATGTGAATGTATGCGCATGATACTCGTGTTAATGTGAATACTTGTGGGTACTGTTGCTGTCATATTCCAGTCAGTGCAATGCAATGGGCTGCAGAACAGGGAATATTTACTGTAAATTATCAAATAAAGTTTCTCTTGAATAAGCACCAGACCACATGCGAGTTTTAAAATAATCTAACTGTAAGCAGCATAAAAGAAAATAAAATTTCATCCAATTTTTGTATAAATAATACAATGTGGCAACATCAACAGTTCAAAAGTTGGACTGATAAATACTTTGGTACATTTAAAATTCTATGGAAAAATGTTTTTTTTTCTCTAGATATGGACTATTGGTAAGAATTACAATTTTTTTTTTAATTTCAGATTTTTCATGGTAACAGGGGTGATAATCTTGAGCCAAAAACAAAATTTTATTTTTATTTGAAATAAACATTATCGGCAGGCGGTGAATATGTGAACACAATAATAAGTCTCCTCTTATGGACATCAATCCTTTTCATGTCTAAAACAAAAAAACAATTTTGTAGGGTGGCGATATGCAGTGTACTATATGTCACACACACAGACACTAACCGTTTGAGGAACTTTTTCAATCGATTCAGCAGGTACACCGTCTGCATTTTCCTCTTCACCAGGCTCAACTGGAGTTTGATCGATGTTGGTAGCTGGCCTAGAATCTTCAGGATTCTCCTCCACCTTTGATTCTTCCGATTTGGCTTCTTCACCTTTACCTGCAGCCCCAAGTTTGTCTTTCTTTGATTTCTTTTTCTTCTTTTCTAAAAGCCAAGTTTTTTTTTTATGTTTGTAATTTTTGGTTCTTATCTTATTTTGGATTAACTATTTACTTTTATTTTTATCCAAAAAAAATATGATTTTGTTTTTGACATATCATTTTTATCTTTTTTAATAAATTTATTCTATAAATTGCTATTGATTACAATGATGTGTTATGTTGGTAAAATCATTCTGTATATATATCAATGTATAAATCTTCAAGTTTTTGTATTCACTGGTCAAATATTAAACAAGTTTAGTTTAATTATAATAATATATTTTAATTGTTTATTGACAGTTAAAACACATAGAGCCCTGTTATTCAACTGACCTTGAATTTTGTTAGAAAGAATGTCCCATAAGGGATCATTGTGATGTGACCATACCTCCTAGGTATGAATGTTAATTGTTTTTGAAAAACTTTGAACTATAATAAAACTTCGACATACTTTTTCCCTTATCATCGACTGGTGTATCAGATGTTTCTGGAAGTGGAGTACCAGAGCTCTCTAGAGCTGGAGTACTTGCAACTGTTTCTGCATCATCTCCCTCTGTAGCATTTCCATCATTGATATCAATTTCTGAGGGTTCTGTAAGAAAAAAACCCATTGAAAATATCTTGTAGTTGCATTTTCATAAATTTTAAGATACGACAAATTAACAGGTTCAGTATAGTAGTAATATACAACATATGAGTTTTAAGAACATGAGTTTCAAAAATCACTATAGAGAATTGTATGATTATGCTTTAAGCATTGCTGTAAGATGGTCAGCACCATTCTACTATAATAGCTGGATTGCTAATCGGCCAATCACTGTACAAAAAAAAAGTGAAGCCACCAGTGTTATATTGGGCCGGGGGCCCATGTGACGTCCAAATTTAGGTAAAGGGCTTTTCAAATTATCTAACCCCTCTGCACCTGTTTATGCAGTTTACAAAAGAAGCGGGGGTGATCTTGCGTTGTTGGTGTCTGTCACGCCAGTACAAATGTTTTGCGCTATGATGACGTATCTGTGACGTTTTGGCTCCTCAACACAGCATTGATGGCTTCACTAAAACCAGCCAATGAGCAATCCAGCTACATTTATCATAGGAGGGACCAGTGGTCAGCGCCGATGAATACACACCATGCACAGCAAAAAAAAAATGTGTTAATAAAGTTCATTTAAATATAAAAAGCAGATCTCCTTGAATGGGCTTCTTTACATGACAAATTTAAATTTTCTAAATTTTAGCTTGAAAGGTTTCTGAAATATTTGAAGGAAGTAAATTAACATTATTAGGCCTACAAAATACAACAGATATTAATTATTATTATTATTATTATAGAGTATCACTCAGTAATTATCAATTAAATATCTATTGAAACATAATATTATAGCCATGATGAATGTTAATTACAAATTTGTATATTAAATAATCAATATAAAGCATTAACGTACCAATTTCTTCTTCCACCTCTACTTCTTCTTCTCTTATACTTTTGTAAAATATAGCAGCAGCTCTACCCTCCTCTGGAGTCTCGTTGAGAAACTTTGCAAGCTGAAGTTCGAACTCGCCATCTTCACGGTTGATGAGCTCCTCAAACACTTCGTTGTCATCAATATTTAAGGCATGATATACCCTATCACGCATCCACTCAAACCTAACATCATCCATTATTGCAACTGGAGAACGCTTAGCTATTTAAAACTTATTCTAGGCCTACCCCCTATGTATTCGACATCTTGCCTTCACCTCCGCACACAAACCAACGAGACTTTGTGTCTTATCACTATTATTTATTAATGCGCACAACAAATAAAAACATTTTTATTTTTATATGTTTTGTTAATTTATGCAACGTGTTATTGATCAAAAATAGCCACAATATTATTAAATTATGATATGACTTAGTATAATTTCGTTTTAATTCTTTGACAGGTATGATATAAATCTAAATGCAATGTTGCGCACTAATTTTAACAATCATATTTATGTAAACCGGCTTACAGGAAACTTGAACGTTTACCATAGTCAAGTCGGTTGCTAAGGGTCTAAGTGTTAAATTTATAAGTGAAATCAAAGATGTAGTATAACAGATCAATCGTTGAGTATTAAAGTAGAATACCCAATATATTTTAACTCTAGTTTGTAGCAATTACATACAAATAAGGACGCTTTTTATCATCGGTCCCCACTGACAATTAGTCATGGTTCATTAAATTTGGGGTCATAGCATAAAGGTCAAGTCATTACATCAAAACAAAGTTCATTGCAAAAATCATCTGGATAGTAAGTCGACGGTCCGGGAAAAGTGATGATGGAAAAGTGTTGAGGGAAAAGATAACATTTAATGAAAATGGCCAACGTTATTGTCTGGGAATGGCTCTCAGAAAATGATATGTGGAAGGCGTATGATCCTTTCGTTTGTAGTGCAATAGAGAAATCATTTCGTAATGAAGAAGTGATAAAATTAGGTGAAATCGAGTCTTCGCTATCGGCTTACGAAGTCGACCCGTCGATTCCACATCAAAAACGAATCGATACAGGTAGGTATGTAGGATAAAAACAACAAACTACCTAGCCTAGGCTAGTCCTATATGGCTATAGTAACAGGTGATATACTTATGAAATATTATTTAAATATATATTATTCATTAATATATTTGATGGACAGTTACTTAGCGTACTGCTGTTTTCAATAAACAGTTGATGCTACATTTGAATAGGAAATTCATGCTAATTCCTTTGTTTTGTTATCATTTCAAGGTCGCACATGTTAAAGGTCTCACTTTTCTTTCTTTGTTTATCCTTTCCCCAACCTGTTGTATTGTAGGCCAAGGAAGGGCTGAAATTTAATAATTAATAATGAAACATTTTTTTTTGGAGTGCACGAATCATTCCATTATACATATTTCTGTGCCACACAGTCATTGAAATTCTAAAATTTGGCTTATCTATACTTAGTTTTATCATAAATTAAATCCAAACATGATGCATTGGGCCATTGCATGTTTCTCTTTTTTGATATTGTTTTATACATTTTGTTGACTTTGATTTTCCCTTTGTCGTCGATGTTGCTAGTCCTTCTTTTCCTAGAAACTACAGTAGTTCTGCATCACTAGTGTTTAACAATAAAGAAATATTGTGCTTGCTCTTGCCTAAACTAAATAAAGGTGCTTGTATGTTTTCTCAGTATTTGTTCACTTATAACAACAGTGGGATATGATGAAATAAACAATGTTTAGTTTAAAATCAAACATTATATTACTTGAAGTGCAGTACAGTACTATTATATTTTGCTCCCAGACTTGAAAAGATAAATTCAAGTTTAGAAAATGAAATCATATAATGTAGTTAATTGAGTTCTTAATTTTTATTTGCCCACAAAAAAAAAATAATAAAAAAATACAATATACTGGTAAACTGAATGAGCAGGCAGGGACACAAAAATGAACATAACTATGTCTATGATCTTAATTCACTCATCCAGTTTAAAATTAACAATACAACATTATAAATAATATAGACCTATTATGATCTAATAAAATTGGAAACTAAGCAATTATCAATTAAGAAAAAAAATTGAGTGCCAAGACGCGATTCAAACTCTCAACTTTTGGTTCAATAGAACACATCGTTAACCGACCGATTAATTAATCAATTGTAGATCTCGTAGAAAGAGAGAATTTTTCAAATAGTTAGATTAAATAATTTGTACAAATTAAAATGTCTTTAAAAAAAACTTAACGATTGAAAACAAGATATGTTTGAACTTATGGCCTTTGGTTCCTTAGATAGCACAGTTAAACTGTCCGCGCCATCCATATGACATGTATAAAAGTGGTAATGGCAGTAATTACAGTCCATGCTGAAGCCACCCAGGGTGTTCCGAGAGCTCTTTATCTGAGCTAAAATATATATCAAATGAAAAAAAAATTGAAGTTAAATACCAACACTATTCGAAGTCACGCCCTATGGTTCCTGAGAATCATCGATGAAACCTTCGCATGGACAGCGGTTAAACCGACCGAGCCATCCATACGTTGTATATAAAAGTGATAATGGCAGTAATGTACAGTTACTGGTACTGTTACATACCCGTCTTCCTCAGAAGACACATGGCCGTCATTGACGGGAACCGTTGACAGAATCACTGCTGCTGGCATTCACTTGAGCTCAATGATATCCCATTATGCTTCACAAATACATTCTGTTATATCTTTATATTATTTTATGTTTTTATTTATTTATTTATTTTTATTTATTTTTTTATTTTATTTTTATTTTTATTTTGTAATGTACAGTCAGCCGTGAAAAAAGCACACAATCAGCAGGGTAACTCCTTGAACTCCTCATTGGATATAAACATAAATAGATAACAGTACAGTGTTTGTAAATGTAACTTGACATATTTCTGTTTCTTACATACTGTAATTTGTAGCTAAAAAAGTTTATTTTCTCTGGTCATGAAGAAATCCCTTCCAGGAGATCTGGTTAAATTAGCTTCCTTAACATAGAGTATTTGATTTTATTTTGCTGTACATGATGATTACACATCGACACTGACTTCCGTGAGACAATTGATATTAATGTAGTATAAACATGCAAACACCTGTACTATGAATTTGCGGGAAGTGGGTTATTTTCTGGCAGATTCATGCTTTTTGCTTGCAGGAGTGCAGCAGGTTGCCCGATTTTCAGGCATCTCCCGAGACATTTGGGAGGCTAAGGACCCCTCGATAACTGATTACTATACTGATACATTCTTTAAAATACTTGAACAGAAAATTATTTTCAAACTTTTTTTAGGAACTGTGAGAACAGTGAGGCGAAAAGTATTTAAATCAGGATCTGCTCCTTCCAAGGATATCAGCTGGCAATGGTACGAAGATAACAAGCAAATATGGCAGCCATATGATCTTCTAGCCATGTGTATAATTGAGGACGAATACTGCAAGAAAAATTACAGAATTGACCTATCAAAAACTGAGTGTGCTTTACCTTATATTGTGGATACTGTGAATATGGTACAAATGCGGATTGATTCAGGGTACCGCAGAAAACTGAGGCGGACCCTGCTTGCATCACCGTACCCCAGGGAGAATGAACAGTTTCAGAAAGAAGACAGCTCTTTAGGTATCTCAACATCCGCAGCGTCAGTTGAATATGACAATAAAGTGGATGATAGTACCGATGATGCTAATGTAGGAGATACGACAAGAGATCTAGATTCAGAGAGTATTGCCTCTAGAGGGCAGGCTTCAAATGATCAGAGTATGAGTGGATTACAGCACCAACAAAACAGAAAGTCAACTTGGAAGTCGAAGCAAACGGTTGCAGCTGTTCACAAAGTGCAGACGACGCTAGCCTGGAGTTCGACTGATGAACCTACTAGTGCAGTATCAAGAGAGACATTGGAAAGCGAAGGAGAAGCAAGTGTTAAGAAGGTTCCTCGATCGCTGAGTGAACCAGGTGCAGTTGGCAATTCTCCATATCATAAGACACATGACCACGGGAGTGTTGCTCACTCGCATGGACCAACAACCTCGGGAACACGACCAAAAGTGCGGGCATCTGGGAACAGTGTTGGTAGTAAACGTGGAATGAGCAGGTAAAACTAAAACTTTGACAATTACAGTAGTATAGATTAGTATGTACTGTGTGATTGATGTTGATTTTCTTTTTGTTATACTTGTACATGGTGTCTTTACTTACGACAGTATATTATAGTTAAAATGTAATGTGTTCATACAAGGAAATCAAATTTTGAATCTAACCATAGTGAACTATTCATCCATATTGGAAGGAAATACCACTTTCTGTTGGATGCAAATTACATGATTATGTATAACATCATAAAAAAAAAACCAAACATACGTGACGGAATAGATTTTGATTACTTTTCATATAATAGTGAAGTTGACCACCCTGTTAAAATTAATATACTGTACTGATTGAATAAAATGTCTACCTTTTTATTATTATATACAGTACAGACCTACTGTATTACCCACAGTAATAAATTATTACAATCCAGTAACTGTAATACCGTATGGTTTTTGCCAAGTTATCTGATGAAATGACGTTTTATTTAATGATTACATTGGATGTCTATATTACAATAACAATTTCTTGAAGGTTTGCTTGGCGAATTAACGATTAATATAAATAATGAAGCTTGTGCATAATTTTTGACAGGAAGCTATAAAATCCTGCTGTATGTATAGAGTTTTACTTCCTGCTAAATTTGTTATGTCTTCCTGTTATTAATGTGTTGCTTTGTTTTTATCAAAGTAAAATTAGATTATTATGACAAAGAAGTTTTATCTGTTGATAAACTGGGTGTTCTTTCTATTGAATGCCCAATTTTGATAGGCTAAATTTCAGTTAACACAAAGGTAAACAAATTTAAAGTTCTGTCTACAGTGTCTCATTATTTGATTTGGATCTTCATCCCAGTGTTCAACAACAAGCTCCAATACATGATTCTCTGTTTTATTCTAACAGTCTTACAGGTAAACTTCAACTGTATTTGATGTATTGTCCCATGAAAAATACCGCAACAAAATATCAAAAATCATTTTTGAAATTAACTTGCTTATTTTGAAGTAACATAAACGTTCTCAACTTAAACATAGAAATAGTGTATTAAAAAAATTCTTCACCTATAATTTTACAGTAAAAAATAATAAAAACACAAACTAGTCACTACTGTAGAAGCGTTATTATATTTTTTATCCTTAACCAGTATAAACATCAGGGTACACATTTTTGTTAATTCAATAATTTTTATTTATATAATTTTTAATAATATTAATTTGTATGTTACTGAAAAATGAGCAAATTATTTTCAAAATTATTTTTTTTTAATGGTTTTTTTCATTTTCATGTGAAAATACATCTTTTAATCACAAATTGTATGTTAGTTTTTGTTTGTTTACTCATCTCATTGTGTGTTTGATTTCTCTTTACTCATCTGTAGGTCGCAATCAATGCCTGTCACCATCACTGCTAGAGCAGCACACGCTGCTGGCCCACATCTTAGTCCTGTCATGACATGTATGTACCATAGGTCTCATTTAACAGCCATTCTGTATGGTCAATCTCAAAATGCATTTCATCATTTAGCCTATCATGCTTCTTAACAGATAAGATAATGATTGATTTCATGTTCAAATGTGTGAGAATTTCAGCTAATCAAAATTCCATCAAAATAAATGTATTGTCTACTTGTATACTGTAGGCATAGGCCAGTTTACATTATTTTACTAAAGCATTTACAACAAACATTTTAAAAAGGAAATGTTAAAAATTGAACAGTAGACATGTTCCTCGTCAGTTTAGCAAATTTTTTCTGATGTATAGCTAGAGTTTCGGGGGACCACAGAAGAATATATGTCCTCCGTTGGATCAACTTTATCCGGACTTGTTTTCTACTTTCTTCTTAAATCAATTCAACGAAATGTAAAATATACTGTATCTTGGTGTAAAGTAGGTGTATATACAGTGTTTACAATGTACATACGGTAGAGTGTACTGTATATTGATAATTCAAGGAAATAGCACATATAGAATTTCCTATTAAATAATATTATTGATCAGATTTGATAATGAAATGTGTACTACTGTATACATAAGGGTAAATGAATGGTGCTGCTTTGATATAAAAAATTTAATATAGAATGATATGAAGCAAGATTAATGTATTTAATGGTACTATTTGTAGCCATTACCAGCATGCTTATGTCGCCCATCATCCCATCAGTGCGGATAAATGCTACGCCTGTTCCTGTCTTCAACCCCCCACATACATCAAGAGGTTGTCTACGACCTGTGCATGGTATTAAGCCTAATAAGAAACGCAGAAGACACTCTTTCCTAAAAGGTAATGTCAAGAAAGAAATTTATTGTCTTAAGGCCAAATAATAAAAAATACATGTTTCTCGTCCGGATTTTCTGAAAAAAGGAAGGAGGAGGCACTTGATATTTATTATTTTCTTTTATTTTGTTATTATGTTTTTTTGTTATTTTTCCCCCAAGATCAGATTGCCATGTTCCACCAACAATATATGTATACAGTACGCTTGGATGACCTATTTAGGTGTAATGTATAATATATATAGACCATTAAACATTTACTAGTGTATCAACAAACTTGCAACACAATAATAAAAATCGAGTTATGCCTACAACCTCGCTCGCTTCGGCGATGTCGTACGATCATTTTCGTCACCAGCCTGTGAGATTGGAAGATCACGCAGGCGGTGCATTGTAACGAATGTGGGCCTAGGCCATCGACTAGTCATCGTTTTTCAGGCATTAAAATTCGCAATTATCATATGGGAATGTTGGAGAACAATATGTATAGGCCATGAAGACTTTAGTGCACAATGTATTTACCAAAAATACGGTATTTACGGGAGTTTTGGGGATTAATTTTTTTTAATCTCTTTTTCTAAAATTAAAAAATAATAAATAACAAAAAATAGGAGGCGGCCCCAAAAACGAAAGCGGGCGGGGACGAGAAAAATGTATTTTTTTTTTTATTTGGCCTAAAAGTAAGTGGTCCCATGTTTCCCACAACTCGCAAGAGTCTCCCGGAAACACGGGATGGTCCCCCCACACTCCCGCAACCAGACACAAATATTCCAAACAATAACCCATGACTTCTTCCAACAACTTGGGACCCCAGAAAAGGTCTATTCCTTTTGAAATTCAATTATCTATCATCTGGTATTTTTGAAATTTAAGTAAACTACAAGGAAGTGTTATACAGTAGGAGTGGAATTAGTGGTTAAGATGCTTTCCTTCCAATTTTATATAATAATAATCATACTTTTTTCCTAATTTTTCTAGTAAGCAGTCCTGAGGACGTTGTAAAGCAGTACGTAACAAAATTTAAAGAAATTCCAGATGAGGTAACGCATTTTTTATTCCAATTTTTATTAATATTTATTAATAATAATGCTAAAGATTTATTTAGTGCCAATTCTGAGTAAGTGATTAAAGGTGCTGAGTTTTATTATTTCTGGTCACTGGATAACGTACGACAGCAAACTAGCACAAAGTGCAACCTTCTCTACTCCCTGAAGAGTCACCTAGTCATGCATACTCAGCGCACGAAAAACAGGTAGAAAAAATGCTACAATATCCTACCAGGTACCAATTTTTACTGGGTAGAGAGTTACAAACGTAGATGAAATGTGAGGTCTCACTACAAAATGAGTCATCGTTAGAAAATCAAAAAAATGAGTTTATATTACATTTTGGTAGATCACATTAAGCTTTAATTTGGTCTTTGAATGGCTTCCCTAGGATAAATAGATCCAGAGGTGTGAACATTTAAAGTTCAGGTGTATGAGAACCAGGTTTTGAGAAAATCGGCCTCAAAGATAAACTAACCTATACAAATAATAGGACTAGAATTACAGAATATATGAAGAGAACACTGTTTTAGTAAGAAAATTCACTTAAAAAGTACACAATCTATCAAGTTATTCAAAAACATTAAAATCAAAATTTTGTAAAAATGTTTTCCTTTGACCTATTTTGGTGAATATCTCAATATGATTTCACCAACGATGCGTCTCATTTCGTGTTGAGACCTCACAAATGCTTTGCCCAATGACACAATCGATCGAAACCCTGACCTCAAGATTGGGAGTCCAAGCCACAACCGATGCGCCAACAGTAGTTACTTCCAATCTACCAATTAAATTGCCAACCCTAAACTACATTGCCAGCTGCCACAAATTTTTAAATATCCTGGACTAAGAAATCTGAGCATATACACATACAGTACAAATCAACTATTTATTTATGCCACTGGTGATTGATGATGTATGTCAGTATATTAAAATCATATAAGAAAAGTGAATATCTGGAGACTATAACATCTAAATAAATGTGAATGAAACGTATTCATTTAGTGACCATCATCATTTTCCGGTACTGTGCGTAATTTCATTTATAGAGTATACTCACACAATAGTTTAATGGTACGCATCACTGTTCGCAGATGTGTTACTATTTCTTTCTCCCTTATCATTTTTAAATGAATGGCTTCGCCTAAGTTTTTTATTTAATATTAATTTTATACTTTAATATGACTTTAATTTTAAATCGCCCTTTAAAGATTGTAATATAGACAGCTTGGTGCTTATTTGTTTAATTATGATTTTATTATTTACTATTAATATTATTTTTATGACATCAATTATTATCAACTATTAATATTAGTTTATTACATTAACTATTATAATTATTATCAACTCAAAAAGTTATATTTCTAATTTCTGCGTTCAGAATTGTCCTATTTGTGTTGGTCCACTGAAAGAAAATTCTGACTTTCAAGAGGAAAATGAAGATGAGGTGCTGAAACTGAACAAGTGTAATCATATATTTCACCAAAGCTGTCTACACGCCATGTACCTAGCTGGACCTAAGGTATTCACATTTTGATTATATTAAATGTTGTGCTATTTGTATATTTCATAAAAACCACTGCCCTCTTGATCTTTTTTGATTATGTTGTCAGTAAGGTGAGACTTATTTTATACCTTGCTTAGCAAATGTTTTTTTTTTTTCAAAAGTAGGGCAGAAAAAAAACTAAAATAAAATTTTGTTTGCTTATTTAGCAAATGGTGGTTTTGCCAAAAAGGATGAAGGCGGTAACAATAAAATTGTATTGGTGAATGTATATATTGTAGTAATGGTGTTAATAAACTGTCTCTT